CACTAGGTACCTATACCTCAGAAATTGGGAGTGTGGCCATGCTTACAAATGAACCTCTTGTGGGTCTCACCCGCGTGAGATCCGTACTCCGCACCGGTCAACCCAACGCTGCACGTATCGGTGGCTCCGGCACGTAGCTTCCAGCTACCACCTCGGGGCCTCCCACCCTCCCAGATCGTACGGAACATCAGGACCACTATTCACGAATACGATGAGGAATCCAAGTTCTGTTTCCGCACTTTCTTGCGGCATCCAAGTGCAACCCGCAGCTTGTGTCCGGCTCCGAGGAGACCCCATGCTTGGCCATTAGTACCTGATTGAGACACCACTGCAGGGTGCCATGTTTTCTACTCTAATATTGTGCATCGTGACCGACGGCGCAGTCCGGCATATCCGCTGCTGTATGGCCTACTAGCTCCCCACTGGACCAGGCCGAGAACTCGGGTAGACTAGCTTCACTTTACCTAGAACAAAATCCAAAGTGCGAGACGTAGAGTAACGTTTACATGTGTTCAGTATCCGTTACTTGGCAGACACACAGATGACAGAGTCCAGGATCCATGCCGACTGCACACTACTCCACTGAGTAATGCCCGGCTGCATGGGCCACGAAACATGACTGTCCTACATTAAGGAAGTATTGACATCTGGATGCTGACTACGGATACGTCTGAGAATTTTGAGAGGTGAGTCCCCAAGCCCAGGGATCCAGATTCAGCACGACGATGCCGAACCCTAGACGAGAGTGGGTGAATCGGCAAGCAAAGAAAGGGGAAAATCAGGTCCAGCGTGCATACACAGGCGCACAGGCATGCGCGAAACAAGGCAGGTGGCGAAAAGAAGGACATCTTTTGGACCCACTGCCGCCCAGAGTGCAAGATCTCTCCGTGGGCGACGCAGATCCATTCCTTGGCCCAGGCGGCCGGGTTCCGTTCCGTGGAGAAGTTGACTCAGGGTCCTGTCGGAATTCTAAATTTAGTGGATTCCGTGGCTCCCCACCGCCAGTGACAGCACTCAGGGCTCACCTCCCCTCGGCTTGTGCGCTGGCGGCGCTGCGCTAGTATCCCCCCAACGGTCAAGGAAGACCCTGATTGTCCGCGGGATGGCTAAGAGGATCTGCAACTTGTCAGCCGGCATTTAGCCGCGCCCATCGACTTTTCCATCTCGCTTTCCACTGCTTCTCAACTTTTCCATCTTGCGCGGTCGGCACCATCCGAAGTAATGCCTGCACATTCATTACCTTACAGGTGACCTAGGTTCCTTAACTTATGTAGGCAAGGCCCAGAAATACGTCCACCTTCAGGCTAGTTTTGCTATGTCGGGCTAACCTGGCTTCCACAGTCCACTGAAGATAACTGACTATCCTGCCAGTTAGCTCACTTTTGACAACATCACCATTCCTCAAAAATCAACTTACCTTTGTCGCCATCGAACCCATTCCGGCTCCTCGGATACCACCTCCTTCCCGACCCCCGACTTCCCCAATTCCACAACCCGGGCTGCCTCCCCCTCTCGCACTGACCAGAAACATGTCAAGCTTGTGGCTTAGCTTCTGTCTCCCGTTTGCACCACCTTCAGCCACACAGGTGTCTTCCGAAAGCATTAGCATATGTCTACGGGTCTGTACCCAGCCAACCAGATGAAGTCTTACCCTGGCAAGACTAGCAGCCATCACTCGCCTAGCTTCATCGATGTGATCGTCGTAGCTGCTGGCTTCCTCGTCACTATCGCCAGGCTGCCTCGACGTTGCTTAAGCCTGAGCCTCGGTCTCGTGATGAGCCGGTCTCTCAGTGGCGTCCATATTGATCCTTACTTTCAGGCAAACCCGATGCCTCTGTTAGAGCAACTTGTTAGCAGGTTGGATCGCCAAACTCGGACACTTCCGTTCTTGCTACGCATGAGCGTGACGACCTCTCTCTTTGGCTGCTGCCGCGCACGCTCGTGACTCATCTTTCCTTGCCTCAAGCTTAGGCAGTCACGGGCTATCGTTCTACAACCTCGGCTCGGTGAAAAGGGGATCAGAAAACGACATCGGGGCCATGTACGGGGGTTAAGGTCGCTAGCGGAAGTAACCCAGTTGTGAATTGCTGGGTACGAGTGACGGCGAAACGCCACGATGCTCTTGACCTTATTTTTTTTCATTTTGCAGACTCAGTTTCAGACGGCTTCCAATTTACTGATGACTGTGTTCTGCCTGCTGTGCGAGTCTCGTCCGGCAAAGTGAGGAACCAATTGATCCCCTCGAATAATCTAAGATACTACCTACGTCTACCTTCGCTACATGTACCATCACGGCTGCTGCTCGGCCTAGTCAAACCCCTTGGTATACTCTAACACTGCAAATATCCTGCGGGACTCCTTGTGGTAAATCAGCCATGTGGGTTGAGGTGATGAAGAGAGGACGTCGTTTATGCATGTGCTGAGCGGTGGGTGATTGTGTCACCCACTCTGCCAGGTATCGTGCATACTCCATCCAAGTGCTAACGTCTCATTACATCGTCATGATTTGGACACATCATTCTCAGGCGACTCTCCGCGATTCCGGAACTGCCTTGCTTCGCGACGTTAACTATGTCAAAGCTCGGCATATCATCGGGCCATATATCCAACAATACAGTGATGAGCTATTTGGGCGCTTTTGTGTAGTTGTTTGTTTATTGGGGAATAAGACATCTAGGAGGCTTTGAACCCGTCCGTGGCGAGTATATGTGATGATAACGGGGAATATCATAGCTAGTGGAGGGAGAGGCCGTCGCGACTGTGACTCGGTCAGACCGCCTGTGTAATCCTAAGGTGCGATGTGGTAAGCTGCAAGCTATCTGGGCCCAGTCAGGGCATCGGACGACATTGATAAGGTATATACGATAATTACCTGATCTCAGCCCCGATTCTGTGGTGCCTCGTTCCTACGCGATGCTTATTGATCAGGAAGCACTCATCTGGCGTGCAGTTGAGATGAAGTCCGATAAAGTCTTCACAAGGAGGCATCCAACGTGGCCAGCCATCATTCATCCCCGTGCAAGCTGCCTGATGGAACAGAGTACCATTCCGTGTCATCTTTATACTGATGTCTAGGCTTGCGCTTAATATCCATGTCAAGTCGAGGATATGGGTAGAGAAGCCGATATGGGGTATTCCAGCAATATCTTGTTCGTCGCGTTACTTCGACGCAGTAATATGATCATCTACTGACTTTGCAGTAGGATGAAGTCTCCCTCAGCTATTTGTTGCATACGGTACGTCGTGCAGTGAGACCTCATATGCGCCTGTCGATTCCGCAAGTCTGGATATCCCAGTGTCCAGTGCGTATGCTGGTGTAGTTGGCACAAACTACCGATGCATTGATTCGGCCTATATACGATGCCGACGGGCCGCACTCGTCTTCGCGCCGTGTTTGTTTCTCTTCGGATGGTTTTCCACGCAGACTCGGGGCTTCAAGCTATTACGAAGGGTCTTTAGGCTGTGCCATGAGGCACGTCGGTGATTCAGCGACGACGATGCGCATGTCCACATCCTGTGGACCACGCACGATCACATCGCGCATTTCTCGCTGCATTTACTCGCAAGACAACATGACATACCAAGTTTCTAACCATGGCCGTGCGTTTCATGCTCTGCAGAGGTCTTGTGCTGGTCGTGAACTTTGCATTTTGCCACGGCGCTTGCTGCTTGCTCGGAGATGATCGCGAGGCCGAGATGACACTGTCCTGCCATGATTAGAGACAGTTCGGGCAGGTAGCTCTCCCTCTTGTTGTTCTCTCCTGGTCCGTTGGCGACTTCGGGCCTGTGACCCCTTCTAGGCGACAGATCTTGCCCCCGGTTGCTGAAAACACTTCTTGACCAACTTTGTAGGTCAAGATACCGGACCATACGCGTTTGTGACTCTTACTCCCTCTCTCTCTCTCTTTCTCTCTCTTTCTCTCTCTTCATATCATCTTAGCTGCGGCTAAGTTCTTTGTGAGACGCCTACGCTGATTTCTAATTTGGCCCTCCTTTGGGCAGCGTGTACTGCATGCGACCGTTCGGTTCGTGGGATATTGATTCGCCCGATATTTGATATTTATTAACTTGTACAGAGTAAACTGTGCCTCGAGTCATGTTTTGGTATCAAATCCGATGTGTTTAAGGTGGTGTTGCTGAACAACCAATTTTTTGATGTGTTTTATATGAGATGTTGAATTTGGCAATAAACAAGTGACATAGAGGAATAAAAATGAGACGCCCATCAACGCAAGTTTCCGCCACAACACACCTAAAGCACAATAGAAATGCAACATGGAAAATGCTTCGGAAGCATTTGATTCTCCAAGGGAGAGACGGCGACAAGTGCAGGTTTGGGCAGCAAGAGCCTTGCCGGCATTAGATGATGCGTTCAGCTTCACCAACAACTTGGTAGCCACAGGCCCCAGAACGATCAAAAACGTCAACAGACCACGAAGAAAAGGCACCACGAGAATAAACGAGGCACCAGAAGCATGAGGTCATAGCAAATGATGCTGGTGGAAAACTAGGTAAATGAGCTCGATCATATCGGGCAATGGCAGATTGTACACCCATCGAGATACGAAACTTTCCAAGACGAGGGGTTATGAATACTAGGAAGAGACATACATCATTGCGCACACACAATGAAAAACAACGGCAGGGGGACAGCAAGTTCTACGATGCCCTATGTGGATTGTATTATTGAATTGTTCATCACCAATGAATGACTTGAACCTGCCATGTGCAGAACCCTCATACCATAGCCCACCCAAACAAGAACACTGAAGGTCAGCAGCCTGGCGCCAGCACAGCTTCAGCAGCAGCCTGAACGAACACATTTAAGACCAACATGCAACAACAACCAGAGCAGGCAGTTGCCACCCGCATGGGACGCGACGCGACGCGACAGCAGAAACGCAGAGTTAGATCACATACCCATACAGTGGAGAGTAACACCTCACACACACAATAAACAGACGCGGCACACAGCATTCACTCGCGAAGATGCAGAAGGGAACCGAGAAAAATTGATCAAAACGTGCCTCGGCGAGGGATTATGTCTCAAGCCAACCAAGCCATCCGTATAGAACCCCATTTCCCGTATGGTACAGTAGAACACCCCAAACCAGCCAAACCCATGATCATTCGTGACAAAACACTCCACTCCCAAAGTCCGCATGGACCACCGCGTCGTGGGTTAGATCGCGTCATGGCCCAAGAAAGATTCGTAACAGACATGCAGAAATACGACGCTTAACCACCGAAACCGTACAGGGTGCGGCCTTGGCGCTTCAACGCGTAGACAACATCAAGAGAAGTGACAGTCTTGCGCTTGGCGTGCTCAGTGTAGGTGACAGCATCACGAATGACGCCCTCGAGGAAGGACTTGAGGACACCACGGGTCTCCTCGTAGATCACTGAAGGAATGGCATGTTAGTCTCTCGCAAGCCGAGACGAGCTGGGGCTAAAACTTACTGGCAGAAATACGCTTGACACCACCACGACGTGCGAGACGACGGATGGCAGGCTTCGTGATACCCTGAATGTTGTCACGCAAAATCTTGCGGTGACGCTTGGCACCGCCCTTGCCGAGGCCCTTGCCGCCCTTGCCGCCTGATCACACCAAGTTAGTATACCGGGGAAGATAGAAGAAGCACGATGCGGGATCGGTACGTACGTCCAGTCATTGTGGATTGTGATGAAGTTGAAGTGATTTAAGGTTGGGGTATGATGAGGCTCTTCCGAGGGAATGGCGTGTAAGATTGTTTTGGCAGAGATGACGTGGGGCTGAATAGTAAGAGGGAACACGATCGTAGTCGCGCAGAGGGGGGCGGGCATTTATATCAAATGTCCGTGGGCCAAGTCTGATTCGGGATCAGCCAGAGAAAAGCGGGTACGTCCATCACGCTGGATCACACCTTGTCGCGACGCGAAGCGAAAATAAAAAAACAACGCCAGGAAGGCACAACCACACGGGCCACACTGGCTTTCCCGGTACTTCATCAATTTCAGGCTCTCTCAGCTTATTCCCAATTGGAGCATCAGATGGATATGTACGATTAAATGTAGCCAACCAGAAAGCGTCCCTCGTCTGTCCCTGCCCCCTTCCTCCTCCTCCTTCTCTCACCGTTCCTTGCAAGTTGCCACTTTGCTTTTGCAGTGTTCACCGTGCCAGACCTTAGGCGCGCTGCGTGCCATCAGAACCGTGTTTCCGGCTTCGGTGCCATCTGCAAAGTGCCAACGCCAGCATTTACCCCTCCGGCTGTATTACCTGAGCGCAAGGGACCGATCATATCACAGGCAGTCACCTGCGTGGCAGGCACCCACTGCTTTCAAGTTCAATGCTAAAACTACGGACCGTGTTGGTCAAAGACAGTAATCTCTCATATGATGTTGCCTAAGGTACTGACTGCATCGGTAATTGTCTTTCACGTCAGCCGACACATAGAAGCATCGAAAAGGGTGTTTCGATTCGAGTCTATTGACAGACTGACCGGTGACGTGACGATAGGTAGGCGCTCTTTCTATCGTCGTGCGCCTGGGTCATCTATGTAGGCCAAAACGCACAAGTTAAATCCTGTGCTGTCTCCAAACCCAAGTTGAGGCGTCGCTGCACCCACTGCCCCATCTACCCATCCACAGGCTCCAGCTTTGGTAGGTAATACACCAGAGTGACCCGGAGACCGAGAAATCATCTCACTAAAACCTCCCCACTAGTCGCGCAAGGATTCACGATGCCGCGGCCGCGCAGAGACCAAGTCACGTCTAACACTCTGTAGATATGTAGATAGTATGCAAAAGGCCCGAGGGATGGGCATATTCCGGGCAGAGATTCCTTGGACTGGCTCATGGCCATTGATGTCAATCTGCACGCCAGGCGGGTAGGTGAATTACATAGGCGTATCCCGGAAAATCTTTGTTGATTGTTCTCGTCTTCTATGGCAAACAGCCTTTGTTGTTCACTGGTAGAACGTACGAATAAATGACAGCACTCTTAGTAACAGCCTGTCTCGATGCTCATTCCCTCACGCGCGTTACTTCTAAGTCCCAACGCGTAAAGCGGTCGAGCATTGGAGCAAGTGCCTTTGGTAGCTTTTGCCCGTCCCGCATTTAGATGGAAATTTCCGCAGACGGGGAACACTGGGCTGAATCTTGGATGGGCATAGTCTAAAGGAAAAAGGTAAGGTACCTATTCCGCATATGCAGGACTTGCCTTCAGTGCCTTGCGTATGATCACAGTGGGCCCCGGAGAGGCGCTAGACGCTAGATACGTACTCTTCCCTACCAGGTGTTTGAGAGAAAAAGATGGGGTGGCGTCTGACTTGATGCAAGTTTTCCAGCCAATCAAAAATGAGCAAACTATCCGTTTTGATAACAAAGCGCAAAAACCCGCCCAACTGCGCCTGCCTTGCAAAGCAATCGCGCCTACCAAAACGGCATTTTTCCAAAAAAGAACCCACGCCTGCCACGCTCACACCTGGCACTTCCCCTCCACCCGATCAAAACCAGGAAGGTGCGCACTGGCCACCTTCCATTTGGCGCACAATCACTCCCCTCTGCACGCGTTCCGTCTTCCTACCTATTTATTCCCCTCCACCCGTCACCCACTCCTCATCCTTTTCTTCTACATCCACTCACAACACATCCACATCAACCAACAAGTACATCATCACCAACAAACAAACCCATCAACTCCATCATCACACACAGCAGCAATGGCCCGCACCAAGCAGAGTAAGTCATTACTTCTTTGCGACATTTTTGATAAATTCTTTTTACTGACTTTATTTCCACAGCCGCCCGTAAGTCCACTGGTGGCAAGGCTCCCCGCAAGCAGCTCGCCTCCAAGGCCGCCCGCAAGAGCGCCCCCTCCACCGGAGGTGTCAAGAAGCCTCACCGCTACAAGCCCGGTACCGTCGCTCTTCGTGAGATTCGTCGCTACCAGAAGTCCACCGAGCTTCTGATCCGCAAGCTCCCCTTCCAGCGTCTGGTAAGTTGAGATCCATCCAACGCGTCTCCTTTCGCATCGTCTAACACTCCCCTCCTAGGTTCGTGAGATCGCCCAGGACTTCAAGTCCGATCTTCGCTTCCAGTCCTCCGCCATTGGCGCTCTTCAGGAGTCCGTCGAGTCTTACCTCGTCTCTCTCTTCGAGGACACCAACCTGTGCGCCATCCACGCCAAGCGTGTCACCATCCAGTCCAAGGACATCCAGCTCGCCCGCCGCCTCCGCGGTGAGCGCAACTAAGCGACTGTCTTTTGATTTTCTCTTTTCACATGGGTGGCTCATGACTCGCGCGTTTGGGAATGCTTGACGAAGGGACCGTCTTGGTTTTGGGGGTAATCTGGCGTTTAACGATGCGTTCTTCAGAATAACGCAAGGGTTGTACATTAAACAAGCAGTAAAGGATGACTGCATGCAATGGCAAACATTATGAACTACTCTACATTGTCCCGTATGAAGAACGTGAAGAACTGCGCAATCAGTCGTATTATCGTCGCAAGTGTCAGAACACGTACCTTTGCATGCAAACCTCGCCATAACGCGATTGGGCCGAATCGCGAGACTGGCGAGAACAGCACCCGGGGTGCGACGCGTATACAGTGATCGACAGGATGGCAGGCGCATTCTCCCTGTCGCAGCCAACGGAAGCCCCGTTGTTATGACGCTATAGTGCTCAATAGATAACTCATTTTTTTTTTTTTTGAAGGTGGACAATAGTAAATACTGACAGGACGTATGTTGGTGATGTTTCTATAAATGCATCCCGTCTTGACTAAGTCCTTGAACATTTCCCCCTCCCCTCCCCTCAAGCACTTCTTGTTACTCTTGTCTGATAGATTGAGTTTATCGTGGTCCCGCCTCTGCGACCTTTGGTAAAGCTGCTTAGCGGAGATGTCGCGGAAACAGAAAGGAGGGAAACGCTGAAACAATGCGAGGGGAGCAAACCGCTCAGGTAGCCGTCCCACCGGCGGGACCTCAGCGTTTCCTAAGTCTGATCGCGCTCCTTCTAAGAAGCAGGCTGCTCTCGCAGTTCCAGAGCTGCGGATATGACGAGGCCGTTGCGATGCCGGTAAACCACGGCCAGACTTTCTCCGTCCACTGTTGGGTGACAGCCAAGCTGACTAAAATAGCACGTACCGCATCGGTGTCATACCTTATTTCAGTAATCGACAGCCTACTTTGCAGTGACTTCAGAGGCGTTCAACATTGACGGATCAAGGTACAGCTCGCAAAAGAGGTGGGCGAGAAGAACAATTCTCTCAGATAGAATAATCTGGAACAAATTCTCGATAGGTTCGACCAGACTGTTTGTCCAGGGCGAGACTTTGAGTGCACTTGATTATCAGGTTGTTCACAAGTAATGATTACAGGCACATCAACAACGAGTGAAGCTGAGCGAGAACGCACCAGCTGTCCGATCTGACCTACGGGTTTAACACAAAAAAAAAAGGTAAGTCTCCTTGGTATTCTATTCTTCTGTGACAGTCTTTCGTTGATTACTGGTGAGGTTCTCTGATTACATGTTTTTCGCGACGGCCCAAAAGTTGTCCATCTTGGCTCGGGCCAACGCGTCCCTGGCTTCGGCATCAGATTCGCAGACCTTGCTTCCCCACTTGCGGTAGGCCCTCGTCTTTTCTTCGCCTTCAAACACCAGCTTACACTCATTATGGGACATGTCCTTCAAGTCGCCACTCTCGTTTTCCGCTACCAGCCATTCGCGGACCTGTTGTTGCGTCTTTCCCTCTTGCGAATGTGCATTTTCAGTCCAGTTGATTCGCTCAAGCATGAGCTTCTTGTATTTGCGTATGCTGTGCTCACCGCCTTCAACAATGACAAGATTCATCCTTGGGTGCATGATGCAAATACCCGTGAGAGCATGCTGCTCGGCGTTCTTTTGGATCCTGAATCTGTTCCGGCCGTTGGCGAGACTGTCAATCCTGAACACCAAGATATGGATGCCTTTCGCGGCATCTTTTTCTTGGTTCGTAGCAAGCTTGACGTGCTTCTCTTCCTTCGTGAGCTTGCGTTCTTCATTGGCCTCCAAGTGATTCTGCTGGCGCTCAGCGATCTGCCTGTTGACGAGATTCTCCACAGCCGTAGGATCCTTCACTGCAGAGTCTGCGTAAACACGCATCATGTTGCTCTTCTTGACTTTGGGGGGCGGAGCTGGGACTAGTCCAAGTCTAATCTTTGCTTGCTGCTCCTTGAGTTCGGCCATCCTTCTCTGCCTCCTGGTCTTGGCCATTTCTTTCGGTGTCAGGTACATTGGCTTCAGGGCTGGAGTATTCTTCTCCTGCGGCGGTTCCAACGCGACGGGGTGCTGTACATATTCCGTGATGATGGTATCTTGTTTGATCTTCAGTTTGGATTCGTCGTCGATACAGTCGTAAGAGGTCCCGTCGACCAGTCCACCGTCGAACCATTCTATGTCCGGAGGAGGGTCGACGACAAGATTCTTTTCCGTCTCCAATTCATCTTCGATGCCGGCTTTCCTTGTTTGCGCCGCGATTCTCTTCTTCATCTCCTCGAGGGCAGCTTGTCGCCGCAGCGCCGCGGCTTGCTGGATGAACTTGCCCTTGGCATGGAAATTTAGCGACCGAGCCTGACGTTGTCTTCCATTTGCGGGCTGTGCTGCCTGCTGGTCGTTGAAATACGGGTTGGATAGCGGCGCATCGCGGCCTCGCCCAGCAGCATCTGGAGCTTTGAATCCAGTTGAGAACTTCGAGTCAGAGTGCGGTCGACTGCCGGATGGCTTTACATCGTTCGCTCTAGCTGGCGCCTTTGTCTGACCGAGACTCTCGAGTACTGGATGTAATCCGACGTTAAGGCCTCCTTTAGCCTTGGAGACGCCGACTGCCGCAGCGACTCTGGCTTTGAGCGCAGCCATCTTATCGGCGGCCGATTCAGGTTTCGAAACCCGGGAGTTGGGGTCGTGACGAGGCCCAAGGCCTAACGAGTCTGACTGTCGATCCATTATGACTAGGCTGATATGCTGCCACTTTTCCCCACGACTGATCGTAGGAACTAGATTACGGGATGCACGTCTTTCCGGAGATACACGTGCTTCGTCGGGAGGATGTCGGGTAAGTCTGGGCGCTCACTCGTTCTGAGTCGGTCGTCTTCGCGGAGTTCGCTGATTATGTATCGCGGTCGAAAGGGTAAATCATTCGCAGTGACCCCAAGGCAAAGAGGATGAGGAGTAGAGGTCCGTAAGAGGATTCGGTGGTGGCCCCGTTGCACGGTTGACAGGGGTTGTGGTTGAGGAATACGGAATGTGTCTTGAGAGTGGGAGGGAGACGCCCCTACTGTGGGCTCTGGTCAAGAGAGTGGCTACGTAAATATCCAGTTGACTCTGTAACCTCGATGTTATCGTATTGCCCGTTGTGAGGTAAACACAGGCACGCAGGCTAATATGCAGCACGCAAGTACGTAGGTGGTAAACACTGTGCTATGTACCTTACCTACCTAGCCTAAGGTAATCGCAACCTGGAAGGTCCCGTTCCTTCAAGCATTTTGGGGTGCCTTGCTGCCTTGCGCCGATAGCACAGTGGCAGAAAAAAAAAAGAGTGAAGGACCCGCCAGATAAAGGCGGGTTTTCGTTCTGCCGACCACCACCGCCAAAAAAAAAAAAAAAAGTTCCCCTCGGTCTCCCACCGACGGTTGCTGCTCTGGAACGTCCGCCCCGGTCGTATTGAATTTGCGATCGAGCGAGTGCCTCATTGAAGCGGAAGCTGTATGGAAAATTTGCTTCGGACACCACACCTTCTGCCGTTCCGACTCAGATTGGTGCCAGGCTATTACCTGACGCCTCAACGGCAATATGAACATCTCTCAACCCATTTCGTCGTCTGTCGAGACGGTCGAATTCACATTCCTCACCGAGGAAGAAATCAAAGCAATCTCGGTCAAGCGCATTGAGAACGACAGCACATTCGACAACCTTCTGAACCCCGTTCCTGGTGGTCTCTATGATCCTGCTCTTGGATCATGGGGCGATGCTCTGTATGAAATGCCCCGAATATCCCTTGTCCTTTGCTCAATTGACTTACACGTCTCTTCACAGCTGTGCAACCTGTAACTTGAATCAGTCTTCATGCCCGGGCCACGCCGGCCACATCGAGCTCCCAGTGCCGGTATATCATCCTGTATTCCTCGACCAGGTTCTCCGTCTTCTGAGGTCGCAATGCGTCTACTGCAAAGGTTTCCGCATGCGCCATCGCGAAATCAATCGATACTCCTGCAAACTTCGATTGCTGCAATATGGCCTCTTGCACGAGGCTCACTTGGTTGATGCTATAGGAGAAGAGCTCAAGGGCCTTGCACTCCCGGGCGTGCCCACCGATTACGAGAGCGAGGCAGAAGAAGAGGGCACCTCCACGGTCGACAACATTATCGGGGCCCGAGAGGCATACGTTCGCCAATCTCTCAAATCACACAGGCTCAATCTGGGCGAGGTCAGGAAGGGCAAGCACGAAGGTGCTATTGAAATGAGGAGAGAGCTCATCAAGGACTTCCTGACGCAAATCACTAAGTCTAAACGATGCGACAACTGTGGCGGTATATCGCCTACCTACCGAAAGGACCGCTTCGTCAAGATTTTCGAAAAGGCCCTTAACGAGAAGGATATGGGTCAAATGGCACAGAAAAACCTACACCTCAAGGACTCCATGGCGACAGCAGCTCACCAGCGCAAGTCGAAGCGCGGCAACACCGACACCGACGAAGGTGTTGCCGACGTTGATACAAACTCATCGAGCGAGGAAAACGACGTTGACATGCGTGATGCTCATGACGACGATCTCGAGAAGGAGGAGGCAGAGTCTAGAGTTCATGCCGTCCGTCAAAACCCCGGTCAGCAGCGATACCTAAGTGCCATGGAAGTTCGCGCCCGTCTGAGGGAGCTGTTCGACAAGGAACAAGACATTATGTCCCTCGTGTACAACTCGAAGCCAGTGACCAAGAAGGCAGCTAAAGTATCTGCCGACATGTTCTTTATCCGAACTATCCTTGTTCCCCCTAACAAGTTCCGACCCGAAGCTCGAACTGGCGATTCTCAGATTTCTGAGGCCCAGCAGAATTCCCTCTACAAGATGATCATGCGAAACTGCGGTAGCATTGCGAGAATACACCAAAGCGTGGGTGGCACAGACCAGTACGGGAGAGCAAGAGACATCAATGATTTGCACCAAGTATGGACGGAATTGCAGGAGTCTGTCAACTCTCTGATCGACAAGAGCAAAAACCCCGTCCAAGGCGCAGCTGCGAAAAGGAACGAAGACGGCATCAAGCAGAAGCTGGAGAAAAAGGAGGGCCTTTTCCGAAAAAACATGATGGGAAAGCGAGTCAACTTCGCTGCCCGCAGTGTCATTTCCCCCGACCCTAATATCGAGACCAACGAGATTGGTGTGCCTCCCGTTTTCGCACGCAAACTTACCTACCCCGAGCCCGTCACGAGCCACAACTTCAAGGATCTGCAGCAGGCCGTTATAAATGGTGTCGACAAGTGGCCCGGCGCGGCTGCTATCGAGTACGAGAACGGACAAATCGTCAATCTTCGATCCAAGTCTGCAGATGACCGCCAGTCTCTTGCCAACCAGCTCCTCACGCCGACCAACGCCCAGCTGAGTGGCATGAAAGGCAAGAAGGTTTACCGACATTTGACGAACGGCGATGTTGTTTTGATGAACCGTCAGCCGACACTCCACAAGCCATCAATCATGGGTCACCGAGTTCGCGTGTTGCCAGGAGAGAAAACAATCCGAATGCACTACGCCAATTGTAACACGTACAATGCTGATTTCGACGGCGACGAGATGAACATGCACTTCCCCCAGAACGAGGTTGCTAGAGCTGAGGCTCTTCAGATCGCCGACACAGACCATCAATATCTATCTGGCACGGCAGGCAAGCCTCTCCGTGGTCTGATTCAGGACCATCTTTCAGTCTCTGTTGCTCTTTGCAACAAGGATACCTTCTTCGACCGAGACTCATACCAGCAGCTCATCTACTCCGCCCTCCGCCCAGAGAGTGGTCATATCCTTGGCGAGAGAATTGAGCTCCTTCCTCCGGCAGTCATCAAGCCAAGACCTAGATGGACAGGAAAGCAGGTTATCAGCACGATCTTGAAGAACATCAAGCCACCAAATGGAGAAGGGCTCTGGATGGCTGGAAAATGTCAAGTCAAAGGCGAGCAATGGGGAAAAGGTCATCTGGAAGAGGGCTCAGTCTTGTTCCAGGACGGACAGTTCCTGACTGGTATTCTTGACAAAGCCCACCTGGGCCCCAGTTCAGGCGGTCTGGTCCATTCCATTCATGAAGTCTATGGGCCTGCTGTCGCGGGCAAGTTGCTCAGTGCTATGGGCCGCCTCCTCACTCGCTACCTTAACATGAGGGCCTTTACTTGCGGCATGGACGACTTGCGGCTCACATCGGAAGGTGAGCAGGCTCGAAAGGAGGCATTGAAGGCAGCGAAGGACGTCGGACTCCAAGTTGCAGCCAAATACGTTTCACTGGAGGACAAGGCACCAACGAGCACAGACCGGGAACTGCTTACTCGCCTGGAAGAGGTCATGCGCGACGATAATAAGCAAGAAGGTCTCGATCTGCTTATGAACCAGAGCGGTGGCGTCGTTTCAAGCGCGGTCACAGCAGCTTGTCTTCCCGTCGGTCTGGTGAAGCAGTTCCCCAAAAACCAGATGCAGTCTATGACAACCTCTGGTGCTAAGGGCAGTCAGGTCAACGCTAACCTGATTTCATGCAACTTGGGACAACAAGTTCTTGAGGGCAGAAGAGTCCCTTTGATGGTTAGCGGAAAGTCTCTACCCTGTTTCAAGCCATTCGAGACGAATGTTCGTGCAGGAGGTTACATTGTTCAGCGATTCTTGACTGGTATTCGACCGCAAGAATACTACTTCCATCATATGGCTGGTCGCGAAGGTCTTATCGATACAGCTGTCAAGACCTCTCGCTCTGGTTACCTGCAAAGATGCATTATCAAGGGTATGGAGGGACTTACAGTGACGTATGACTCGACGGTGCGAGATGCCGACGGCACCCTCGTGCAGTTTCTCTATGGCGAGGACGGTCTTGACCCGACTAAGCAGAAGTACCTGACCGACTTCAGCTTCATCCTCCGCAATGTTGGTTCCGAGTCGGCCCAGCTTAATTTCAGCAATGGCTTCAGGGAACAATTTGCCGGCACCAAGGACGAGATTCTCAAGCATATGAAGAGTGCTATCAAGCACGCAAAGCTTGATAGCCCCGGGGCCAAGGATCCCATTATTTCCCTGGTCAACCCTGCGAGAGTAGCATTTGCGACATCCGAATCCTTCTACGAGAAAATGACGAAGTACATCAAAGACAACAAGGATGGTCTCATCCGCGACAAGTCGAGCGGCCCATCTGGTCTGGTGGATGCACCCGCTGTCAGCAAAAAGTCGGCAGAGCTTGTTTTCGCCGCCAAGTATATGCGATCACTCGTTGAGGCTGGTGAGGGTGTCGGCATTGTTGCTGGCCAGAGTGTGGGAGAGCCTTCGACACAGATGACCCTCAACACATTCCATTTGGCAGGTCATTCGGCAAAGAACGTTACGCTCGGTATTCCACGTCTCCGTGAGATCCTCATGACAGCAAGTCGATCTATCTCAACACCAGCCATGACACTACTTCTCCATCCTGAGTTGTCCGCAGCCGAGGGAGAGGTGTTTGCAAAGTCAATTAGCGTTTTGCCTCTTGCCCATGTGCTTGACACGGTGACCGTTAACGAGCGCATTGGAAAGGGCATCAATACTTCACTGGCCAAGCTGTACGACGTGAGGCTCAACTTCTTCCCTGCTGCGGAGTACACCAAAGCCTACGCCATCGATCCCTCTGATGTCATGGATACCATCGAGAAGCGATTCCTCGATCACCTCTTGAGGATGATGGCCAAGGAAATCAAGAAGCGCAGCAGCGATTCCACCTCGGCTACGCCTGAAGTTGGCGTCAAGTCTGGCGTAGTAGAGATGGTCAGTGGCAACGGTGAGGCAAGACCTACCAACAACGACGATGATGATGACGAGGAGGATGGCGACGGCGACGCCACGAGTGCCAAGAACAGGGCAAATCGGGACGAGGCTGTATCATATGGTCCAAATGATGATGAGGACGACGCGATTCAGCGACAGATGGAACGTGAAAATACCGAGGAAGAAGATGAAGGGTTTGAGGGTAGCCCACTGCCGGCAGCCGACCAGGACGGCTCTGAGGACGAAGATGACGGGGACAAAGACATGGATAGTGAGGATGGTGGCTGGAGAGCCGAGCGAGTGAAGAAACTCTATGCTCCCGTCACCAAGTTCAACTACGACAGCGCAGGAGAGTGGTGCGAGTTCACTCTTGAGTTCACGGCAGATACCCCCAAGGTATTGATGCTCAACATCGTGCAGGCGGCGGTCAAGAAGTCAGTCGTCCAGCAAATTCCTGGCGTTGGCTCTTGCACCTTCACGGCCGACCACAAGATCACAAACGCCGCTGGCAAGGATGTGACAGTGTCCGCCATCTACACATCGGGTTGCAACCTCGAGGCCATGCAGAAGTACGGCGACTTCATCAACCCGAACCAGATCACAACCAACGACATTGGCGCCGTTCTCGACGTGTACGGAGTGGAGGCATGCCGAAACAACATCGTGTCTGAATTGGCCGGCGTCTTCGGCGGTCACGGTATCAGTGTTGACAACAGACACTTGAACCTCATTGCCGACTACATGACGCGCAATGGTGACTACACGCCGTTCAACCGCAATGGTCTGCGTGGCAATGTTAGTCCCTTCACCAAGATGAGTTTCGAGACGACTCTGGCTTTCCTGAAAGACGCCGTTCTTGATGGCGACTGGGACGATCTCAAAACACCCAGTGGTCGTATCGTCATGGGCCGCCTGGGCAAGATTGGCACGGGTGCCTTTGACGTCTTGACGGCTTTGCCTACGCATCACATGTCGTCCAACATCGAGTAAGCTTGGGCCTCTGTCTGTCTACTGGCATCTGTCTTGCTTTGGGTTCTGGGATTAGGAGTCGCTATGGCAAGTTGTTTATTGACCAATAACTGTACTTTGTATGCGGGATTGATAGAGGTGACATTCACCTGAAAAGTAATTATGAATTACCAAGATATTTGTTCATAAAAGTTTGTTCAAAAGACGTTTACCGATACAATTGTACAAATACGGCCACAAGAAGAGGGGGATGACGCGGAAAGTGAATTGATGATCATTCGCAGTGCCTCCCCACCCCTCCTTGGCGCCTGAGCGCGCAGTCTCGGTAGATTCGATAAGGTGATAAGGTTATGTTCGTACGTATGCGAAGTAAGGCAAGGTAAGGTCGCCTACGTGCCTCGTACTGCAATTGCGGTTTGCACAGTGTTCAAATATCGTCGTGTCCACGAACCGTTAAAATGTTCTCTTAATACTGATGCCATACCTAGATTTTAGGCGTGAGTTTTGAACACGACCTGATACTCTTGCTGATGGCCAGGACCGCAACTGATTACCCTGCCTCCTTTGTCAGACCGACGACGCATGCACAAGTGGCGCCCGTTGTGTTGGCGAATGTGTCGAGCCAGCCCTACCAGGCAGTAGAGCCGAGACATGACGGAACTTAACAGAAACGGGGGTGGGAAACGCTCTCCGGGGCAATCTGAGAACGACCAGATCCATGTGAGAAGGGGGCGCGGTGAGGGTAGGTGGCATGAACGGCGGCCAGGCGAACGCGATGCGTCTCACCTGCCTGCATCCCATTCCATCCCCTCGACTGAGCGATATGTGACCTTTGGGTGTGGGTACGGAGTACAGATGTTTGGGTGACAAGCTGCATGCATGGAGATTCTACACGCGGGCTCGCAGGGCTAGTGAAGGGAGAGACGAAGATAGGCGCCGAGAGAGACGAGAAAATGCGACGCTACCGCGTTTGGGGGCGGTTATTGGAGGGTGCATGATGCGGCCATCCATGACCATGACTACGACTGTAACCCGGAGATCCTTTGGCAGAGTCTTTGAGTACGTAGAGAGGCCAAGGTATAGGGTACGAGTACCTCAAGGAAAGGAAGAAGCCGTTGGACGGACTGATTCGAGACTGAGCGTTATAGAGTTGTTTGGGTTGGAGATGTAATCATCGATCGGCGCTCGCTTTGTTGGTGAGCCAAGTTTACCACAGAGTGAACTGGGTGAGCAGGTAGATAGGTGTGTGTGAGGCGCTTGCCATCCGGCTGGCGAGACGGGGACGGGTACGGGGACGGATGTGCACATTGCCTACCTAGCTTACTAGTAATTGGCAAAATGCGACTTCAAGGGTGTTGATTGCGTCAATGACATGTTAGAAAACATGGCCTTGAATAATTGTGCGGCGTGAAGGATGACAAGAAAGCTCCGTCTAATGAGTTGATACCTGCGGGGAGGAAGAGGACTGGGGGAGAGCTTATCAACTTGGCATCTTTCGATTTGAAGAAGCATCGAATGTCATGATGTGCATGGCTTTGGGTTATTCCTCAAACCAGGCTGAACTGAGCTACCATAATGGCTCAGTACAATATAACACACGCACGGAGTAGGCAGTCGCGCAGTGAAGACACTTTTGTTCATTCATTGAAAAGCCAAAGACACCAACAGCCAATGCAACGCTGCACCAACAGCGAGGAGATGACCGCAGAGGAGATGAGCATTGAGCAGTAAGGTACCCCGTACTACCGATACCTATGTACTATATAATACGTATCCGCAGCCTGTATCCGTAGGGGACTCGGGGAGAGCACACACCACACCTAGTACGGACCCCAGCCAGGCCCTTGCCCTTGCCGTTACCTACAAGTACGCGAATCCCCGCCGTAGCGCGCCCCGCTGAGACCGAGGAGGCAAATCAAAAAGGGATTGCTGGACAGTTTCCGGTGTCCAGGATGCTGTAAGATGTTCGATACAACGTGCCATCGGTCCCGAATGGAGTATCGTACAGGGCAGTAGTCAGCTGTGAGCCTGAAGCAGGGTAGTGGGTGCAAGACGGGGGGTGGGGGGAGGGGGGGGGGGAGCGCGAGAGTACTGCTTGTAGGTGATGTAAGTAAGGTAAGGTACCTGGGCAGACGGGTGAAGATGTCCGGGTACGTAGTTGAGTGTCAGCTGTTTCCTGGATGATGTAAGCCAAGGGGGAAAGAGGGAAGCAGCAGTTCACTACCAATTCGTGAGGCGACACGAGGTTGGAATAGTTCACTAGTCCTGGTGTTATATCCGTCAGGTCTCTACAATTTAATAGTTAACAGAGTCCGAAGTCAGTCGCCAATGTGTCTGTAGGGAGTAGTAGGAACTCATTGCGCAACGAAGTGACGAGGAAGTTTGGAATGGAAATGCAGTGAAGTGATGCCGGTGGAATCCGTGCAGGGTAGGGTAGTAATGTATCTGTATCCGTATCCGTAGGGTCTCTTGCCTTCAGCCTTCTCTACGCAGTAAGGCAGTGTACGGATCAGGTACTGAGTCTTTCCAAGTTCCCCAGGAAGTCCAGGCAGCGCAGTCATTCACTAAGGTAGCAGGCCGTGGGTCTCGTTCCAACTGTCAGCGCGCGGTGCAGCGTGCTGTGCAGAGTGCTCCACGCAAAGTCCCGTCTGCCAAGAGCTGCAATGGCCGGATCTGGTCAGGTCACGATACCTAGGTATATATCTGTACTGCGGTGTGGAGCGGTACGTCCTCCTGGCAGACACGGAGGAAAAATACTTCTTGCCATGTACTTCTTGCCATGTGCTCTCCAAGAGACGGGGTGAAGTGAGCAAGGACCACCCGTCCACGTCCAACACTTGCCCGCCGCCCGCCGCCCGGTGCTGTTGGCTCCAGCTCCCGAACTCCCGGTCCCACCCAGCTGCTAGGTAGGTACGGCCCTGTGTGGAAAGATGCATGCCTTTCATGCTCCAATCTTCAACCCCGTTTGCCTGCAAGTTCACACCCCTCACTCCCCCCTCCCTCACCCTCTTCTGAGTTCCAAGCCATGTGCCATCCAATGTATTTCCATGCGATAACATGCTGCCTCTGTCAGTCTTTGCTGACAGCCGGCTTTCCTCGCTCCCGGCGAGGGGGTCAACCAAGAGGAATCGCACCTCTTACGGACAACACCATCGCCCAAGATTCACGTTGCAACTCTTCGTCAACCGCACCATAACTATTAGCCTGGCGCTTGTATGGCCAATCGCATACTTGCCGTTCGGCCCTATGGCCTATGTGGCCTGTAGCTCTTTCTCAGTGGTAATGTGTGGCAGTATCCCAGTCTGCGTTGGTATTAGCCCTACCTACCATGCTCAAGCCCACCTTTGACACGCTGTAGTTCACGTCCGTAGCAAGCCTCTTTAGACCCAGATTTCTGCATGCACTGCGTCGAACGTCTTGTTCTGCAGCAAGTATGCGATCCTACATCGCCGCCTTGTTGGCCTCAGTCTCTGTCTACTCGTGCTGGAAGATGCCGTCCGACGTGGCATGCTCAATCGTGTCGTCCAACATAACTCGCGTCTCGTAAATATCTTGCATGTCCAGCCCAGGTTCCCTCGCACTCCCCGTCACCACGGAAGCTGACCTTGCCGGGCGTGCCCTGACCTCAGTAGGTTGTCTGTTGGAACTTTGTATAGCAAGCCAACAAACAATCACGAAATTTGGAATTCCGGGCCATTACCCCTTATCCTGCCATATCTTGCCGGTGCACCCTGCTACTTGGAAGTCGTCTGCGGCCTCAAGCGAGGCCAGGCTGCTGCCTCCATGCCACCCACATTATAAATCCCGGCCTCGCAATGTAGAATCCACGGTATGTGCCAAATTCTATCCGATTGGTCAAGGTATAGTCGTTTTTTTTTTTTTTTTTGAGAACCGAAGGCCTTGCTCGGCCGTATAGCTGCTACTGCTATTATTTGACTTACCCTTATCATGCCCATCAAGTACATTCCGTCATTACAGTAATTCCTCATGCCGTGCCCGCTCGATGCTCCAACGCCATGATATAGACATTTACAGTATCTCCACAGCAAATAATTTGCCGTGCATGTAAATCAAACCAACTCCCCCAAAGCCAATTCGAGTTGGTGTTACAGTGATCCCTTAAACGTTGTGAGAAAGGCCTGGATGCCGCACAGCTCCTTCACGAGAGGACCAAGTCGCCGTTCCGTTACCGTTGCCAACTATCGCCATGTGTTCCATCGCTCGCGCCAGACAAGACGCTTCTACTCCTGCAAGCAGATGATTCGGGATGTAACAGGCTACTACCGGCCCCCACCGGCGCGTTGATGGGAGGCAGAGGCCCTGAGCCAGGTCCCATGGCATGTATCGGCCCTCCCATGCTACGATTGACCGGCGCTAAGCCTCCAAAACCCTCCACACGAAGGTCGCAAGTGCCAACGTCGAAGCGTTTGGAACATCCATCATCCATGTGCCTGAAGCCTGGGTTAGTAGTTTCTTCTTGACAGCCACTATGCATGTCTAGCTGTATCTCCCACAACTTACCTGCGAAGCGTGTCCTTCCGGGCGAACAACCTTCCGCAATAGTCGCAACGGTGGTTTTTTTCCTTCATGTGAACGCTTTGATTGTGTCTCTGAAGGTCTGTCTTCCGGACAAACCTCTTGTTGCAATCAGCTACTGGACATGGGAATGGGTATTCCCGCTTGTCGTCGTGTGTATCCAGATGTGCCTTGTAGTTGTAGCTGCGGCTGAAGAGTTTACCACATCCTGCAACTTGACACTGGTACTGGGCGTCCGCAAAGGACGTCATCTTCCGTGGCGCTCGTTTTGGGCGGTTGTGCTTTCCGTCATCTGCCCGCTTCGACTCTCGACTAACAGGAGCTGGCTCCCCCGCAGGAGAGTTTTGGTAGTACTGCTCCACGCCATATTCGACTTTGGACCAGCTTGGAGATTGGTTATCTGATAGATAGTGCTGGTGGAGATTACCGTATGTGCTTGATTCTGTCATGTAAGGCGTCTGCATTGAGCGTGGAGAAGCGTAGTGCGAGGCGTCAATTCCAGATCCGTACTCGTTGGCGTTCTCCATCTTGATCCTCGGCCCCAACGAACTCGAGGAATGCGCAACTTGTGCGTAGGACAGCGAACTTCTGGATGAGGATGGCCCGGGTGAGCGTCCCGGGGAGTCTGTAAGAGAATGTTGATGGTGGCCTAGCACGGACGAGTGGGGTGGCGGCGGAGGGTATGAGTCGGATCCGTACGAGGCGGACACTTGCGAGTCGTACTCAGCAAACGGGTCGTATCCTGTAGATAGAACATTCGGGATGGAAAAGGATGAGGATGAGGGCGCCATGATGTCGGTGGTAGTCCAATCTACCGGTGGTCGAGGATCCAAAGGTGGCAAGGAAATGTCTGCTTCGGCTGCCTGATCCAAGGAGCAGAGTTGGTCGGCAGCGTATAAAGAACTGATCTTGTACTGTTGAGCCGCCAAGTCTGGAGACGGATAATCAAGCGAGGAACGCTCCGATGGACAATAGGTGTGAGTTGGAGATGCTGGCGATCTGGTAAGAGATGGTGGTGTAAGATCCATAACTGGTTCGGCCGCAGGCTTGCTATTCTTTTATCGTTTCGACGGGCGGTTGGTTGTTGGGCGTAAAAGTTTGGTTTATATACCAACAGGGCGTTGGATCAAGACGCAATCAGGCCTCGAGGGGGGTGGAGGATGCCCGGTTGGGACTCGGGTAGATTTGTGTGAGTGGAGGAGCGTGTGGATAAGAACCTGATCGGGAGTGCTCTGATTCTGATTGGCAACCTTGTCTAAGAAGGCTGAGGGACAATGGGTAAGATGGGGAAAGAGGCGGTTATAAAGGAATTTGTTCACAGATGGAGAGGGGGCAAGACAAGGCAGCAAACTCGAAGCTGACAAGGATTCTGCTGAAGAGAGAGAAAGAGGTGCGTATAAAGGTGTCAGGGTGTAGATATGTATGAGATTAGGTGCGTGGGAAAAAAAAGGTAAGGTATCCGTGAGGTGTTGAAGTATCCAGAAGATGGGAATAACCTAGTCGACAGCTATCAGGGGTGGATGAGGCAAATGGGTCGAGATGACACCCTCGATCATCGCCAGCAGGGCTGAAGGGGGCCGAGAAAAGACAGAGACAGGAAGACAAGGCGGACCGGACGCTGGGATACTGCAACGTCCGAGGCAGACTCTTGGAAGATGATATACAACTTGTTTCTATCTCGGGATCCTGCTTCTGCCTGGGCCCAGAGTAACATGGAAGACAGAAGTCAAGACTAGGTGCAAAGGTAAAGACGAGGAAAGCTAACAATACATTGACTGGCCCCGAGTCCCGGATTAGCAAAGAAAAGAGACGCAAAGGGCTTGTCGACCTGGCAGCAGCGGCAGCAGGCAGGCCAGAGTGCCTGTGGAGTGGTGTTGGACCGTCCCGCGAAGGATTCGACAGACCTAGTCCAGCCAGAAGTACCATTGGGGGCGGCGCGAGACGTGGAGGGGAGGGCAGAAGAAAAGCAGGGGTGGATGAGAAGGGGCGTCGTCAGGCCAGGAACCCACCGAGAAGGGGGTGAGAGTAAGAGAGGGGGGATGTGACTAGAAGTCCGAACAATGAGAAAGAAACAGATGAGCAGCGAGCTCGCTAGGTGTACGGAGTACGGAGTCTTGTTGGATCAGCGGACCTTTTTTTTTCCCTTTGGGTATGGACGAGACTTGGTTGTAGCCGAAGGGCATCGGTGGATAGGACCGGGTTCGCCGTAGGTGCTAGGGGTCCATTTGCAGACTTGCAGAGAGTACTCGTCGTAATTGAGACTTGCCAATCCAGATGCTGCTTTCCAATAGGTCTCGACTCAGATGACCAGCCTCGAGTGCTCTCTGCCTGCGGCTTCCTGGTCTACGGCCCTGTCATCTGAAGCCTGAAGCTGGCTCACAGCTAAAGTGACTGGGACTCTGGGAAAGTCGAGAGGGGCCTGTAGGAGTATGAGAGAGGTGGAAGCTGAGCAACAAAACAGCTTGTGGGCGGTGGGCCAGGTGGTACGATGAATGCCTGCACCAACGCAGGCGAAGCACATTCATCCGTCCATTTCCAGGGTTGTGAGTGGTCGGTCCAGCAACTTGGGAATGAGAGAGGGCCTTGCCTAGAGGCTAAACAGGGATGCGACCTTTGAGGCTTGACCGGTCACTGGCACCCTCTGCGCCAGGGGTCCGGGGAAGAGATGGGAAGGAAAGGAAAGGGAAGAGGAGAGGAGATTTGCAGAGAAGGGGGAAAGTACAGAGCCTTAAAGAGAGGCACTGGTTTCAACGAATAGGATATGCACGGGATACGGATACGCAGTAGTATATCCAGGTCCTTCACCTTGACCTTGTGTGTTGATATACAGTCAGGGGGTGGGGGCTGGGGGACATTGACTGCCCTCGGTGTTGATTTTGTCTGTATGATTCCTCATTTTCTTCCCATGGTGCTTTTTGCTGGGCTATCTGATCTCTCACGCGAAATGGGCGTCCTGCGTCTTCTTCAGTTACCCTCAGGTCGGGTACAGGATGCGAGCGAGGAGCAAGCCCACCTTGATGTCTCTCACGCACGAGACACACGAGACACGCCCACAAATAAGCACACAGCCCTCGGGTTGTTGGTCGACGATGGACAACAAAAGCAAGACGATGAGAGAGAAAAACTTGTCGCCGTTTGTCGTTGGTTGTTGGAACTGTCTGAACCAACCGTTTAATTAAAGACTCGCCGGGAACATTGACCTAGACCGGACGGAGCCCGTGCGTAAAAGTGGACACCCAACGATCGATTGAGCCACATCGGCCGTGGTGGAGCCGTCGGGCGAGCTACCTAAGTGAGGTACTTCAGCATCAGGTACCTGACCTTTTCGTTCCTTCCCAGCCATTGTGCAGAGTACCGCCCGCTACATAGCGACTTCGGATACTTGAAGTATTTCGAAGCATTGCTTTGCCTTCCAGCGTTGGAACTTCGACACGCCTACGGAGTGCGGAGTGTGTCAAGGCAAGGTAATAATAAAAACAACGGCCAACATATTAATGCAAATATGCTCGGGACATTCAATTACCAATGGTCTCTTGCTCTGAGATGACTTGGATCGCGGCATAAAGAAGGAGTTGCGGTGGAATGAAAACCACTATGGGTTTTACATACTCGTGTGTTCGTACTTGCGCACTTGAATCAAGGTACCCACAGACTAGCTGCCTCTTACTCCCGTCCGTCTTAGATTCCTTCCCTCAACTTGTTTCGAGGTATCAATACATCGCGGTTCGCTAGGGCAGGTCTCGCTCTAGGCCTGTAGCCGTTACACCCACCCGTTGTCCACCGTGGCGTTGGCGCCCGCGCCTGCGTTGGTTCTGATGTTCAGAAGAATACTATCAAGGGTATCCGCAGCCAGTACCTAGGGCAAGGCCAGGTACAAGCATCTGGACTCCCCGCCCGTTCCTCGACGCCTTTGCAGGGTGAGCAGCCTAATGGTACCCTATCTGTAAGTTGGAACGACCCAGCCGTCCGCAAGATGAGTACCTTGTCTGGTGTTGGAGGCCAAAAAAAAAAGACTCCCTGGAAGAGAAAGAGAGAAAAAGAGGGAGAGAGGGGGGAGAGGGGGGGAAGAGGGGGAAGGGGAACAAAGCAAGTGTAGGGTAGGTACCGTACAACGACTAGGTATCCGTACTTGAGGCGCTGATTTGAATACTCTTCTCGCCTTCGCGAAGCTGCAAATGACGGGCCGATGAAATAACCTTTGAGAGAAGGAAGGGGGTGGCGCTCATCGGCGCCATCAAATATTAACTTCATGGCTGCACGTATTCGAAGACCAGAGCAGGCACTTTGGCACACTACTTTGCAAACGGGTCAGCGTTGCCGCTTCCAAGCAAGAAATCATCATCTATTATTTCCAATTAGAGAATGCATCAGAACGAAACTCCATCAGCCGGCAGACTGTGCTCTTTCACCAGCAAATGCTCTCACCTCACTCGTTTTCTCAATTCCAACGTTAGCGTTACTCCTTGCGCCCCCCCCTTCCCCTCCCCCCTCGGCTCCAAGCACCTCATTACCCTGTTCCTCCCGTGCTCCCATAGGTGGCCATGCGCGCCTTCGCGCCCGTATGCATGGCGTCAATGCTGGGCTTGGGATGCCTGCTGCCAATCGCCATGCCAAGTCTTCTTGTCAGGACTAGGAAGTCAGGAGCAGTTGGGTCTTCAATCGTCATGGTGTTGGCCCTGTCTCCAGAGGGTCCGATTTCCATGGCACCGTCAGCAATACGGATGCGACAACTCCCCATCCAACAATGTACGACGTTTCAATTCGATGGCCTCGAAGGAATCAGCCAAGAATCCAATGCGCGCACCTTATCGAATACCCCTGGCTTCTTCGGGCAAAGTGTGGAGTCTAATCGTCCGTGGGCGGGTTAGAATTCACCTACTACAATTGATGTGAAGATATTCGCAGTGGGTTCCGAGTCCTCTACGAGGCAACCCAATCTGTCATCCTCATGCTCCGTGAATCTATGACTGCTTTTCATGGTATTGAGTTATGAGTCTTTACACAGTAAGGCTGGCAATGGTTCATCTTGGTGATCGCTGCAGACGTGAGTATTATTGGAGACATCGCGAGTGGGGGACACGGCTGCATGGAGAAGTTTCTGCCATGTCTATGGACTTTCAAACCTGAAAGAGCAAGAGTTCATTAATAATCTGGCATTCTCCACTTATAGTAAATGCTTTGCTTGAATTCGATGGTTGAATTCGAGTCGATCCGTTATCGTGGTACGTTTTCACCCACCTCGCACTTATGAGGCCTTCGGGGCAGTCACTTTGTTACGGTATAGTAGAATAACGTCTGTTAAGATCCACGAGTAGCATCATTCTGCCCGGTAGGCGGTTCCAGCCCGCGGGGAAATCTACCCAACCATGCCTGTCCTCCCGTCTTTTATACCTCTTCCCCAGCCACATCTGCTCGTGGCAGCTGTCAAAGGGCATGGCGTAAGATATCCGTACCTTCTGTAAGGTAGAGGCAACGCAGAAAAGTTCCATCAAAGTAAGGCCAGGTTCCAAATTAAGGTAGGTGTGTGCCATCCAAGTCAGGTGCATGTATATCTGGTCACCGCGAGGCTGGTTGTGCCTGTCGTGCTTTCCTAGGTACTTGGAGGTACCGTGTGGAACTCCGTAGGGCTTTCAATGTCAGGGGGGGATGGAGCACGTCCCTCGGCCGCCGACAAACTACAAATACTATGTAGGTAGTAATACCAGGTACTCTCTTCAGGCTCTGCAAGGTACTTTTCTATGGGCTGGATGGAAACGGTCAAGACGCGGCCAACGGCATCCCCCATCCCATCCATTTCCCAAACTGTTCAGAGGCCCCTTTCGCTGCGTTTTTTTCCGCAAGAAGATAGTTCCATCATATTCGCATTCGCTGGGCTGCACTCGAAGACATGAGGCCCCGCTACGGGTACCCGAAGTTGTGGCGCTAGAAGCAAGGTGAGGTGATGGGAAACCTACGACCGGGCGCTGCGTGGATGGTACTTGGTTGAAGAGCGGCAGTCTGGCAGTGTTTTGACCGAGGTGTTCTTTTGATTGTCATGGTCATCGGAGAACCGAATAATCTGTGATACCCGGTCTGCCAGTCCATATGCTCTCGACTGTTTCCTTCATTTTTCGTATCGTTTTTGTGGTTTGAAGGATTTCGATAATCTTGTCTTGCGCATCTGGCCCTGTATAGAACATACCACGTCGGCATATCTGTCCAGACTATGTAAGGACTGCTGATTCCAAATTAAACTGACCCTACGAGACCTTGCGATCTCCCAACTCCCAGACCTCCAACTGCCTACCATGTTACCGTATACAGTACGCTACTGCGAGGTGGACACTGAATGAGCAGCATCCTTGCGTTCAGTCTGGCGTCTGCGAATCTGAAGCAAGGGTCCCCAGAAGCGAGACCGCAGCCGGGCGTAAGCAGAGCAGCCAGGTGGGTGCTTGATAGGGAACTTTGGTGAACAGGCATTCCATCTCAATTCCGAGCAGTGCGAGCTTTAGTTGAATCTCCCACCCTTCAACATGCCACCTAAATCGGAAAGCTGTATCTGCGTTCCTTCGCGCAAGCATCCGTGCTGCCAAAGGATCCGGAGTGCCGTCTGATTAAGTGCTGACTGTGACTCGGTCAAGAGATTGCGTCCAATGGCATGGGAATCTTACTTCACTGCGAAGAGATCATCGTTACCTACATGTACCTACAACGGCCGCCCCCAGGTTGTCAGCGAGCGGATGTACTCCGTATACCGCGAAGACCTTAGCGAGCCAAGCCATGCGTTGCCAAGTCATTGGCTGGCCTAGGCGAAGTGGACGATACATGCGCTAGATTTCCCCCCAATTGAGCGTGATGTGCAGTACATCATCAAGCTCTGCCTCGCAGTCCATTAGAGCTCGAGCTGCGCTTCCTTGTGTAGGGCACGGTGTCATAGGTGTAATTTATTTTGGATTTCTACCTCTGTCTCGTTTCTTTTATTAAAATTAAAAACGCTAATTTTATTATTATTATTATTATTATTATTATTATTATTATTATTATTATTATTATTATTATTATTATTATTATTATTATTATTATTATTATTATTATTATTATTATTATTATTATTATTATTATTATTATTATTATTATTATTATTATTATTATTATTATTATTATTATTATTATTATTATTATTATTATTATTATTATTATTATTATTATTATTATTATTATTTATTATTATTATTATTATTATTATTATTTAATCCGTAGTTATGAACTTTATAAGAGGAAAGTTAAGAATAAATAAAAAAAATTATAAAAATAGTTTAATAAAATAGTAAAAGTATTTACTAATACTATATATTAATACTATGTAATTAATATCGAGAACTGCTTAAGCGATAAATAAAGGTAATATATAAAATAAGTATTATTAATATACTAAGACTTATTAACCCTTAAAGCTTTTTAATAATTAGAAATTTAATTTTATAAATATTATACTAAACCCCGAATCATAATAAGGTCGTTTTAAAAATATAAATTAAATATTATTAACTTAAAAGTTTAAAATAAGTATATTAATATAAATGTTAATATTATTAATATTTAATTTATATAATATTAATATATTCTAAAATACTTAGTTAACTTTAAAATATAATTAATATTTTAATATTATAATAATAAAATAAAAGCTTAGAGAAATTAAAAAAATCTAAAGTTATTAAAAAAATCTAAAGTTATTAAAAATAGAAAATAAAAATAGTTTTTAACTATTTAAAAAGCGATTAATATATTATATTATTAATTACTATTTAGGTTATATTAATATTAATAATTATAGCTAGCTATAATTAGTTATAAAGTTTATTAAATACGTAATAAAAACTCGATATTAATCCTAATAAGACTAGCTTACCCGTAGGGCGAAGATAGCCCCTAATGAGGCGGGCCGACCCCAAAGGGGTTATAGGTATAATAGTGGATATAATCTCAACTCGGCTCATAGCAAAAAGCAAGACTTGATGAGATGCGAAGCTACGGACAGGCTAAGGTGAATATGCAGCTCTGACGACGTATTTACCATGAAAGCAAGGTCATGTTTTATCAGATTTTGTGGCAAAGACACCGGTGCCCTTGAGCATCCAAGGAACAGTTCGGGCCGGGACTATTTTCGGTGTGTCCTGACGTCTTGAGAAACGTCCATGAGCTGGAATCCTCTGTTTTATTCATGTTGAAGTCCTTTCCGTGAATGAGCGTGTTACAGGTAAGCGCTCCTCCTGTGCTAGTAAGTTCTTCCACATGCCGAAGAGAAAGTCTCACTCAGGCGCATAGCCATGCCGCAGAACCTGAACTTGCGAGACTGGGCACTAACCATGTGGCAGACCACTGGAAACGTATCCAGCGAACATACTACTTTCAGAACAGCTGGGCAGCTTCGTGACACTGAGGTAGTCATAACAACCTCCTGCCGTCTCAGTTTTGGTTCACACTAAGTTGTAGGTTCCGTATGCCTCTGGCTGCATCATACACCGAATGCATATATGGGTGGTAAGCTTTGCATCAACCTTTGAGTACACGTCACTCGACCGCAGAAAGTTGGCTGACAAGTCCTGAGCCCCCATCGTCGTGGCATCCCACCTCGTCCTTCAAAGTGAGAATGTGCCGCGCATATACGCAGGGTGTGTTCGATTCCCATCAGCCTTATGCTGTGCCGGGCGGGTAGCCAAGAACAATTCTCCGCCTTCCCGACGGATTCGTCAGCCATCCCGTCAAAGACGTCCTACCTTAAGTATCCGAACTAAGTATCCGAACGCTAGGTGGGCGTGATAAAACCACTACCGGAGAGTCACCACTTGCTGAATCACGAAAGGAGTGGCCGGTGCTGTGAGTAGTACGAATAACCAGCATCGCGTTTGACGTCTCTGTGCGGAAGAGCGCGAATACCCGAACCGGTTGGAAATCTGATACGAATCAAACAAAAAAGGGACCAAATGATGATTGACGGCGACAAAAAGTGGCAGGAAAGTGCCAAAGCGACTCTTGAGCGGACTACCTTAGGGCGCGCGCGCTGAACCTGGAAGTGACAAGCACCTCAGCCAAGCACCAGCCAACCCGAAACAAGATGATGACCAACGTGGGATGACATAAGCTCATTCATCACGTGAGGCCGCGACTGTTTGGCATCAAAGACTGGGAAGCTGTAGCCTGTCGGAATCGATCCCTCAGGTTCGCTGGGTCCGCCTCACGTCACTCATCGAGACAACTTTTCGGCACGGCAGAAGATGGCCATTGAGCTTCGCACTTGACGACCTAGTCTCGACTGTAACCACGAACTCCTTCTCAATCTCGAACTCGACCTCGGCCCCAACCTCAACCTCGATCTCCACTACCTCTGGAACAACTCTAACCGTAGAGCCGCTTCTGTAGCACAAGATTGCACTAGTCTGATGAGATCTGCTTCGGAATCTGGCGCCCGTGACCACGCTCCCGCTTTACTCGTCCACCTGGTCCATTTCCTCCTCAATCCACTCCACCTCCCCATTAATCAATCTCAATCCGTCAGCACATATCCTTGACCATCACGACCTTCTCTCATTATTCAGAATCGCTCCTGCCTCTCCTTGCACTCACGTTGAACGATCAACTTGACTGTATCGCTAGCTGCGGCACTCTTGCCGTCTCAAGATGAAGTTCTTCATCGAGTCAGTTACAGTCCGCGATTGCAAAAGAATCCCGCGTCGCAACTAACATTGAGGCCATAGCGAATTGCCAGTCCTTTTCCCATATCCTTCGATCTACCCTGAGCAATATGCGTGAGTTAGGCCCCGTGCGAGCTGCCCTTAGGCCAAGTAAAACGCTGACTAAATGCTAATATTGGCTTCAGATACATGTGTGATCTCAAAAGTGAGCAATAGTCCAAACGGGATTGAACGACGATCGATGTCGCTGACGTGCTGTCCCAACCCACAGAGACCCTGGACGCAGGGGGGCACTGCGTACTGGAGATGCCTTCAGGGACAGGAAAGACGGTTTCGCTGCTCTCGCTCATCGTCGCTTACCAGCAACACAACCCCGAGCACCGAAAGCTAATCTATTGCTCTCGTAAGGATCATACCGTCTGTATTTATACGCGTCTGATCCGCAACTAAAGGTTTACAGGTACAATGTCTGAGATCGAAAAGGCTCTCGCCGAGCTCAAGGCTCTCATGAAGTATCGAGCACAAGAGCTTGGCGAGGAGGAAGAGTTCCGTGGCCTGGGCTTGACAAGCCGAAAGAATTTATGCCTTCACCCATCTGTAAAACAGGAGAAGAGTGGTTCCGTCGTCGACGCACGCTGTCGTAGCTTGACAGCAGGCTTTGTCAAGGAGAAAAAAGACCGCGGCGAGAACGTCGACGTTTGTGTCTACCATGATGTACGTCTCGGCTACAGTCCTATTCTCTCCCTTGGATCTAACATGTTGCTGACTTGTGGCAGAACTTGGACCTGCTTGAGCCACACAACCTGATTCCAAACGGAGTTTGGACGTTTGAAGGCCTCTTGAAGTACGGCGAGCAACATAAGCAATGTCCGTACTTCACCGCAAGACGCATGGTAAAAGAGCCAATCACTGGAGACGATGCTTTGTTTGATACAGTGGCACTGACTTCGAATAGATGCAATTCTGCAACGTTATCATCTACTCGTACCACTACCTACTTGATCCTAAAATCGCCGAGAGGGTATCAAGGGAGCTCTCAAAAGACTGCATCGTGGTTTTTGATGAGGCTCACAATATCGACAACGTCTGCATCGAATCTCTCAGCACAGACATCACGGAAGACTCTCTACGGAAAGCCACAAGGGGCGCGCAGAACTTGGAACGAAAGATTACAGAAATGAGGGACACCGACCAAGAGCAACTGCAAAACGAATACCAGAAACTGGTCGAAGGACTTCGTGGCGCAGATGAAGCACGGCAAGAAGATGCGTTTATGGCGAATCCAGGTAGGCAATACCACCCGCTAGCTCACCCGCTGACTGAACATGGACTGATGTATTCATAGCACTTCCCGATGATCTGCTCAAAGAGGCGGTTCCGGGTAACATCAGAAGAGCGGAACACTTTGTATCCTTCCTAAAGAGATTCATCGAGTATCTCAAGGTATGTTAGCTACACTCAAGGACAGAGTCAGGCGTGCAGTTGCTGAACTTTCTTTCGCCAGACTAGGATGAAGGTCAGGCATACGATATCGGAAACACCCCCGTCTTTCCTCGCCCATCTCAGGGAATACACATTCATCGAAAAGAAGCCACTCAGATTCTGCGCCGAAAGATTGACGTCACTTGTACGGACCCTTGAGCTCACCAATATTGAGGACTATCAACCCCTGCAGGAAGTTGCTACATTCGCAACGCTTGTGGCGACGTACGAGAAGGGTTTCCTGCTCATTCTCGAGCCTTTCGAGTCAGAAACGGCAGAGGTACCCAACCCTGTCCTGCACTTCACGTGTCTCGACGCCGCCATCGCAATCAAGCCCGTCTTTGACAGATTCAGCTCCGTCATCATCACGTCAGGAACAATCTCACCCCTTGAAATGTATCCAAAGATGCTGGGGTTCTCAACCGTTGTGCAGGAGTCCTACAGCATGACCTTGGCCAGAAGATCATTCCTGCCAATGATCGTGACTCGTGGAAGCGACCAATCTTCTATTTCGACCAGTTTTCAGGTCCGGAACGAGCCGAGTGTCGTTCGTAATTACGGCACTCTCCTAACCGAGTTCGCCAAAATCACGCCAGACGGCATGGTCGTTTTCTTCCCCTCCTACTTGTACATGGAGTCCATCATCAGCATGTGGCAGGGCATGAATATTCTCGAAGAAGTCTGGAAGTACAAGCTGATTCTGGTTGAGACACCAGATGCACAAGAGACGTCGCTCGCGCTAGAGACATACAGGACAGCCTGCTGCAATGGCCGCGGCGCCGTACTACTCTGTGTCGCCCGTGGCAAGGTCTCGGAGGGCATCGATTTCGATCACCAATACGGTCGGACCGTCTTGTGCATAGGCGTGCCGTTCCAGTACACCGAGTCCCGCATCCTCAAGGCCCGTCTCGAGTTCCTGCGAGAAACGTATCGCATCCGCGAGAACGACTTCCTGTCCTTCGACGCTATGCGCCACGCTGCGCAGTGTCTGGGTCGAGTCTTGAGAGGTAAGGACGATTACGGCATCATGGTCCTCGCGGACCGTAGATTCCAGAAGAAGCGGACACAGCTGCCCAAATGGATCAATCAGGGCCTGCTTGATGCCGACACAAACGTCAGCACGGACATGGCCGTCAGCAGCGCCCGGCGTTTCCTCAAGCAAATGGCCCAGCCGTTCCGAGCAAAAGATCAGGAAGGTGTGAGTACCTGGAGTTACGAGGACTTGATGAGGCACAAGGAGAAAATGGACTTGGAGCGAATTCAGGAGCTCGAAGAGGTTGGTGCTGGTGGGGACGGCTACGGCGCCGACGGAGGTGACGAGTATGGCATGGATGATGACCTCGACCATGACTTGATGGAGATTGACGACGGGTTTTGAGGGCATTATGCCAGAGGATCGTCCACCTCGCAATTATGGTGCAAGGCTCGAGGTGGTAGAGATTCGTCACTTTCGCTGAGACGGTGCGGACGAGGATACAGAAATCTGAGAACGGGGTTAAAACTAAAACAAATTGACACCTGTATATGAGAACGTAAGGATTCTTTACATTGTCTTAACATTTCAGGAAACTCCAGGGCTCTCTACCACACCAAGCGTAATTTAAAACCGTGACCTATGTACGTGAAGCTTTCTGAGAAGGACGGTCTGAGCTGTCTATCACCCAAGCGGCCTCTTAGCCGCCTTCTGAGCTCTCATGGCAGGTATCGTGTTCTCCCTGCCAGGTTTCCTGCCCACTTCCATGCACAACATGCGAATGAAGTCCTGACTCGTCCAGTAGCAAGTATGCGCGCTCAGCATGTTGAGGTACTGGATCTCCAGTGGCCCGCCGCCGAACCTGAGGTAGTAGTCGATCTGGCCATTGTCATTGAGGAGATAAGCCTTTCGCTCGGCAATCTCCTCTCGCGTGAAGTCGTGAACCTCAAGCTCGAGCTGCGAAGGCAAGCGCGCAAAGTTTGGCTTTGGGGCCGGAGGAGGGGCCATGGTGGCTGGCGTAGGTGCTGCGCCGGGCACAAGACTCTTCACTGCATTGCCAACGTATCTGAAAAGGGAGGTGGCGCTTGACGGGACATGTGCTGTTCTCAGACTGGTTGCATACACCGGATCGATGGTACCATTCAGGAGGTAAGCGATGGGATCCTCCTTGGCCAGTACGTTGTAGATGTTGTCTACGGCGATGCAACCGTATCGACCGGCCTCGCCCGTTACTTCTGGCGCATTAATGTCGGCGGGATCAGCTCCAGGCTTCACCCTGCCGCGCCGAGGTTGAAGCATGCCTCGTTCCAAGAGCAGGAAGAAACCAGCGGGGCTTCCGACCAAGAATAAGTTCTTCGTGTCGAACTCAAAGAAGTCGGGCTTCGGCATTCTCGTCGAGAGGTCTAATTGCGGAACACGTGCAGGTTGTCGAGAGAGAATTTCAATAGCCATGGCGCTACCCAGAGAATGCCCGATGAGGTGAGTGCGCCCTCTATCTGCGAATCCGGGGTTGTTGCGGCACCAGAGGCGGTACACACGATTGGCCTCTGTCACCAGCGCGTTGATCATCTTGCCCTTGTGGTGAGATAGATAGAAGGGTATGTCGAACATGACATCCGATATCATGCTCCTCACTGCGGGAATACTGCCAGGCTCGATATCTTTGAGACTGAACCCGTCTGGCACGTGTTGTGCTTTGTCTTCCTCTGTCATTGGGCCGCCTTCCTCGAACGAGAGTGTATGTCGCCAGTTGATGGGAAGTACCATGATACCATTCTGGCCATCTCTTAAAACCCCCTTGACAATGGGATTCGCCAACTCCGTGTTAACATCACGCCGAAAAGCATTGATAGCGTGGGTGAAGTGGAAGCTTTCGACTCGTTCCGCAAACTTTTGGCCGATTCCATGAACCACCAACACAAGGTCCGTAACCTGGCCGCGCTCTTTCTCGGCCTTGCAGGCCGCGCAGACGTCTTGTCCGACTGCCTCGGTCGTGTTGCTGGCGGAAGAAGCTGGCTGCTTGGTTGCTTCTCGAGGCCGATTTTTGTCATGTGTACGCTCCCACACCGCACGATCGAAGCCGCGTACAACTGGAATGCCGACAGTCATCCCCTTCATAATCTTCGCAACAGGTCTCCTGCCGTAGTAGGCAGACGGCTTGAGGCTAGGTTTGAGGAGAAAGGCTTTGGAAGCATCTTTATAGATGACATGATAAGTTGCGTAACTTCGATGCTGTTGCGTAGCCGAGGCAGTCTTCAGGTTTGGGTCGATGGCACCCTCTGCTGCCGCCTCCCCACGGAAGCAGCTTGCGGCACAGAACGGATCTGATGAGATACGAGTATCCGAAACTGGCTCCTTGTCTCCGTCGCTAGGTTGACTCACGTTTTCTGGCCATAATCGATGTGAGACTTTCTCCTCGCCAAGAGGCCCTACATCAACGGCGCAACGGAGCTCATCATTCCACGTCTCGGTGTGAGGCTTGAGCTCTCGGTAGCCAGCCTCTAATTGGTTCGCCACAGCTGGGGGTATTGGTAGCATCGTATCTCTATCTATCTGTTAGAGCCTTATAAACATTTGAGAAGTTAGAACAACGAACCTGTAGAACCAGGTGGCACGTAGGACCATTGCAATGTCGTTCACAGGGGACCAGTAAATGGGCTTCATTTGTAGAGCCGGGATGGACACCATATGTAACCGCGAGATACCGACAACAACGTCAATAGCTTCTCTCCTGTAACTTTCATCGCTGACAATTTTAGCTTGCGAAGTGTTCGATCTGGCTCTGGGCGGCTCTGGCATAGTGAACGAACGCCTTGCATCTTGATTTTCGACATCATTCGATTTCAACTGTTCCGAAGGAGGGAACGACGTCGCCAGCGCATCTTGGGGTCGCTGCCGGAGTCCAGCACGCACAAACGGTTTGCCAGAGATACCATCGTCTGCAGCATGCTGCCGGAACGAAGTGCCCAAACCCGGCGTGGAGGGCCGAGATGTTTGCTCGCTTGTCCGAGAATCAGATCTAGTCCTCGACCCAGACTCCAACCCCGTGTTGCCAACCTCTCTTCCCATTCTCTGCAATTCGCTCGCTGCTTCTTGCCGAGGACTGAATGAGCTGACAATCTCCATTTGCCGCGAACGAGCCGAGTCCGCTCGTGGCCGGGAAGAAGAGACACTCCCGAATTGGGAGCGCGTCTCGCTCGATGCTACGAGACCCCTGAGTTCCATCATGACTTCTTGCACGACTCTCTCCTGGCCGAGCGAAGGGTGATGTTTCCTGGCCAGCGCACAAAAGGTATTCTGGAGCTCCGTAGAGACGTCAATGAATAACTCCGGGCAACATGTAGATATCGGGGTGTCCGGAAGCAGATCTGAAGCTTCGCCGGCCGTGGTCGATGTTTGAATGATGCCACCATGCTTCTGGAGGTGCTTGGTAGCTAAGTGTCGCGCTAAGAGGTTCAGTTTATGCGCGTTGGCTTTCTCAGTATGGGGACTCAGTTTCCTGTCTCGAACCAGCTGCTCGTGAGCTTGAATATCATCGTTAGACAGAAAGCTAAGCCATGCCTTTTCGAGGGCATTGTTGTCACCGAGGGAAAATGGACGAATCGGGCCACGAGCAGTTCGGGCGTCGGACACACCAGCGATTGTCCCAGGAGACAAAGGGTCGTCTATAGGTAAGATTGAAGAGTAGAAAAACTGTGCAGCCACCGCTGGAATGCCATCTTCGACGCCCTCAGTTGATGGCTGGGACACCGGGGCAAGGCGGCACTTGAGGCCGTACGTATGGTTTTGTTCTGAAAAGTCCATCTTGTTCCGCTGTTATCATTCGAGGTCGGGCTTACTATGCTAAGTTCGTCAAGTTCGATGATGTGAGGTTTCTGGATGCGTCACAGAGGACAGTGAACGGGGATACCACACGCAGATCGGAGACAAGTGAGGAAGGCCAGGCGTCGTGGTCAAAGGCGTGGTTGATTGAGGTATCACGGGTGGCTGTCGGTGAGCCTGCGGAGCGATGTGGACTTGAGCATGGCTGGAGCAGTGTTCTATGAATTTCGCGATAGCCAAGGAGGAGAAGCGTGGTATGGTAGAGGCAGACTTTAGCTAGTAAAGAAGACGCGTTAGTCATCTTTCAAGCGGGATCGAAAAGTGCGTGCCGCGATCACTGACGCGATGCAATAGAAGGCTTACCAAGGCTACCAGCGCAGAGGCCAAGAAGGACTCAAGAGGGCTGATGCGTAGACCAAGCTTCCGCTCGAAGTCCACAGCTTGAGGAGGGAAGTAGAGATGCTGTTAACGAAGCTCCAGGGTTGGGTGGGAGTTGTCGCTTCGATTTCGCGCCTCAGGATCTGTAGGGTGTAGGTTTCAATCTAGGTTCTTGACAACTTGTGGTTGTTAGCTCAGGAACGAGCAGGAGTGGTGCGTAATACTCTGGGCATGCGCAGTGTTGCCTTAGATTGACTCGCCTTTCGCCTTACCTAAGGAACAGTAAACGGTAAGGCGAAAGTCCGAAAGCATGTGCTCCTTTCCGCAAGTGTTTTGCTCTCGTGCCTCTCAATGACGTAAGATGGTTGATGCTTCTCGTCCTAGGGAAGACTGGCCTGCCTTAGGTCAGCATCAATTGAGCTTTAGTGGCACCAGCCACATGAGGCATGGAGGGATTGATCTACCCACCTTAGCCTTTAGGTATCCGAGCCAGTAAGTTGTGACCGCGGTAGGTCATATCTTAACGTGAGGTCCCTAAGATAGTGGGGACTTCAGCCCCACCCCCGCAACGGGTGCTCCAAAATAAGTGCTTCTGTGACAAAAGTGGGAGGATGCCCAAGTAGCTGCCCTGCATCGATCTTGGAAATTTTGATATTGGCGCTGACGGCTTTCGATCTCGTTGCTGAAGCTGTACACCGAAGCTCGTAGAGTAGGGAATCCGCTATGGCGACATCGTCCTCTGCGGACGTTGACTGACTTTACTGTGCACAAGGACTGGAACATGACCAAGTAGTTTGAGGGCTTTGGAAAGTTGATGCAGAGCCGCTGTTTACTACCTAGAAACGTTGGGGGGAGGGGTCTAGAAGTCGCACTCTTTTCTTTTTTCTCATAGAGGCGATAGTTTAGTGTCTTGCAGCAAGATGCCAGAATGGTGCTAGATATTGTCCACCGCTGGGATATATGGATAGACAGGTGTGTTCCCGGCACTGCTTGCTAAATGGAACGATCCAAGAATCACCAATGTATGATGTGGAGCCCCTCTCGTGCTGAAGCCTGAACCTAGGGCCCGACCGGAATACCTAGTACCTATACCACCACGTACCTAGTTATCTAGTGCCTAATGCCTTAGACATGCATCCGTCCCGGGAACCAGCAGTCAGGGAGATGTTCTGCCACGGTTTCATCCATCTCATCGCATCTAGCCTGGCCCTTACATCTGACGTTGAGCTTCGGCTGAATTAAAGATGCTGGCATATGTCCTCTACCAGTTGTGAGTATGCGTGGCTTGGTGTTTTTCCGTACTCACAGGTAGCAGGGAAGAATTAGCACTTGATGATTTAAAGGAAGAATTGGACACGTACGAAAGGGTCGAATGCAACCGGCTGAAATAGGTATGGCCCTGGCTCCGCGGATGAGCCGGACAGTGGAGACGGAATGAGACGACCATAGCAACGTGCCGTTGAGTTGGACTGAACTGGAGTGTGGTGCCAGGTCGCACGTGAAGTGTTCAGTAGATAAGTTGGTAAAGTAGTTCAAGACGTCGGTAGAAGATTTCTTGGGCATGAGACCTCCCTCTCATTCCGTCTCTGATTAAGAGCATTAGTCTTGAGTAACTCTGGTGCAGATAGGTAGGAACTCGAGTCTCTTGTCGCCACTCAACATGTTTCAAGAAGGGCAGACAGGCAGGGATGTCGCGAAATACAAACAACTTTGTGCCAACGAACTCAACGATAGGGTTACATAAGCTAGGGTACCGACCTTACCTACGGTGCCTTGGAACATTAATGTGCAATTCTGCAAGAACCGTGGCCACTCGCAGCAGTCCCAACTCCCAATTCCTTGCCCACCTACCTTACCGTTCACTCACATTATCCGGTATCTAATCGTACCCTGCCTTACGTCAGCCAGTACTAGAAGTATCTTCCATACCTCAAGGACTATGACTACCTTACCAAGGTGCCTATTTCACTACATCTTCTATTCGTGTGTACTGTCGGGCGATATGATGATCATAACGCGGCAAATTGTGAATGCACACAGGCATCAAAACTGAGCAAAGCACAAGAAAAAAAAAAAGAACGGAAAGAAAAAAAAAAAAAAAAAAGCAGAGGGAAAGGCAATCGAGTCATATCATCGTGGTTCTCGATGGCATGCTCTGAGTCTCACCGTGTCTGTTTGATGTATGGCGGGTGCGGTGCAGCGGTGCGGTGGTGGCACTCAATCCGTCGACCCTCAATGGCTGAGACTGGCGCTACGACCACATGGATGCCACTGGATGCACCAGCCGTGCAGTAGCGCCTTGCTTCTTCCCCACTTGGAATGTGACACCCCCGCCCGTCCCCACCCCCGATTTCCTGGGTCCAACCAAGGGGCCCCCGGGACTAGGTCTTGATGTCTCGACCCTTTGAACGTTTGGTTCACCACTTTACCACCTCTCACACTGCTCTCACACTGGTACAAACAAGTAGGCACTGGCCATGGTGCCGTCGTTTCCTACGCAAGTTGCTAAGGTGGTCGTGTAAATAAATGTTATCTGAGTTCTCAATATTGCCGTCGATACATTGACCGAGCACCAGACGATGGGTTTAATTGCCAACACAAGCGATGGCCCCGGCTGCATTCGACCCCGAGTCTTCCGCTCCATTCATTTCTGACGTATGCTTTGGAAACCTCTGTGTTTCCTCTGTTGCCTGGCAGAATCAATCTTTGCCTCAATCAATTGAGAATTGGACGACTCGGAGGCCTAGACCAGATCGACAAAAGACATGTCTATCCGTACGGATACGCTACCTTAGCACGGTTTGGTTGGATATCGTTCCTTAGAAGCCGAGGTGAGGGGTAATCAAACCCGGGGTCCAATATCGCGCCTCGCTCCCTAGCAGCACGCCTGGGTATCTCGAATGGAAGACTCAATCATTGCCAGGTTGGTAGCTTTCTTCTTTGATGACAGCCAGCAGTCAAAGAAATATTGAACAACACGATAGTGAGCATTCAATCCACGAACCTCAGTAGCATCAAGAGGACTCCTGTGTGACGGTCACAAGAAATGATTACCTGGGTAATGAAGGTAACCTCCCATACTCTGTGTACCTTGGGTATCGCGACCATTAGCGCTAACTTGCCTTGTTGAAGCCCTCTGCGGCCGTGCTCCAAGCCAAATAAACGCTGCCCACCATTGGCACTGGTCCCCCTTCCCCCCTTCCCCCCATGTCCCTCTCCAACCCCCTCCCCCCTCCTCTACTCATGAGAACTCCACATCTTTTAGGCTCCTTGATTGGACAATATGGGATGCCAGGTCAAGTGGCTTGGGAGTCGGGGCGCGGACATGGGCTTGGTCTCGCATGTTGGAGAGAGCTGTCTGCCCATCTCGTCGACGTTGGACAAGCCTAAGATACATACCTTGCATTACCTGAGTATGCCAGCAGAAGGTAGGTGCATTTATTACCTGATACCTGAAGGTACGGAGAAGGTGGTAAGGTAAGGTAGGGTGATGTGTTTGAAGGTCGCTTCTCACCACCGTGACGCCGGCACTGTACCTGGCGTGTCACGACTCCTTTCAAGGAGCTTAGCACGCAACTAAAACCTTCATTACTTCAGTCTAGGTATCCCACGGCTTCCTCGCTCCCCCCTGTGCGTTCGCTCCTTTACTCTTCTTTCCCAAATCATCCGACACCTTTTCGTGACATGATGCCGCCCGCCCCCCTCCAACCATCATCCAAATAACCCTCCTCCGCCTTTCATTCGGAAAGCATTGTTCGTCCATGTCCTCGCTCGTACTGGCAGCTTCAACGTCGGCCTTACACTCGACTCATGTTCACAGAGCCGTTTGTATCATTCACAAACAGCGGAGAGACGATAGGCACTGACTGCCGCCCCAGCTTATCACGAACTGGCGCTACTGCATTTCGCTACTACCGGAACGTACCTACACTACCACACTCTACCTAAGCCGAACTGAAGCTACCCTGCTGTTTGGTTGCTTTTGGGGCACGCACGATAAGGATCGCCCATCACCCCAGCCAGTCGATCCAAGGCCCAGCCGATTTACGGTTAGTTCGAGTGCCTTCCTTACCTTACCGTTCACTGCCTCCAGATGTCATCTCTCCCTCCTGTCGCCCTCCCCAAGTGCCCTTTCCTGGTGCCCTCTTTCTACCCTCTCCACCCTGTCTGTCCCCCTTGTACTGCCCCCGTGCTCCCACGCCTGTCTAATTAGTACCCCAACCTGTCATGGTAACAAACATTCTCCTTCCTCCTTCCTTCCAACATATCTCAAACTCGGGTCAATCAGACGGACGATTCGAGCATCTTTCTCTCTCATGCTCATCTCATGAGCATTCGAAGGCCTCCTCTATCATTCGTCTGTTGTGTCTGTTACCAACTCGACGTCTAACATAGTTTGGTTGGATTGCAGGTATTACCAACTTGGCACAAGAGTCGCGCCCCGTTGTACGCGTGGGTTTAGGCCTTGATTGCAGCTCCACCGTCTTTCCAACCCAGCCCCGACTGTTCGCAGACAGCCGGTGCACAGCTTCAATTGCGAACAGCTGCCGGGTCAAGGCAACAAAGTGAACGAGACAGGAACAGAGAACAGAAAGAACATTATACACACCTCAACATGGCGACGATTGCCCTTCCGAGACCCATTGCCCCGCACCGCCCAACGTCGACGGTGGGATCCGTCCCAACCATATCGCTCGAGTCCATTGGCACTGCTCAACTGCCCGTACCAAACAAGCATCTTCCAGTTTGTCCTCCAGGTCCTGTTCCCGCCGAGGAGCCAAATACTCCTCCTCCATCACCTCCTCGCGACGACGATTTGATTCAGCAGACTTCGTTGTTGTTCCCCCCCGACAAGTTCTCCAAATTCGAGTCGGGCCCGGCCACCGTATATACCGTGAGCGCCGCCGATGTGGCTGCTGCTGTCGACTATATCTCCCGTCAGCCCTTGCCGGATCCAAACCAAGTCTTCCCATGGTTCCATGGTCTTCATCCTCACAATCATATCCAGCAGGCTTTTTTCATCGCCCGCCACCGTTCACTCCGCAAAACACCTACATGTGTTCGAGGGGTCACGCTCGTCAAAGCGGACGGCGATCTGAGCGTCGCCCGCCTCAAAGGTGCTATAGCCCCACAGGAGCTCATCAATCTGGCCGCCGCCGAACCCGAATTTCTCGATGTCGATCCTCGCGATGGCTTTTGTGTAAGGAATTTCCAGATTCAGGCTGCAAAAGCTGCCATGGTTTCGGACATTGTTGTTTATGGTCAGGATGAGACGGCTGTTCGCAAAGTGAGCCTTGATATTGCGACGGCACAGCTTCGATGGCGACAGAGGCACGAAGCTCAGGGCCACACTGTTCCGGAATACAACACGTTCATGTGTTGTTCGCCATTCAACAACTTTGAGAACAACCACAAGGAGATTGTTGCTGTCGACGCCCAGGGCCACTTGACTGGCAATGTCCTCGACTTTTTCCACCAAGAGCGGAAGGAGATGTATGACATGACCAGAGCATCGGAAATATCCCACAATGTTTGGCTCGGTCCAACACCAGAACCTTCCTCAGGGGAGGACCAACAGTTCGATGTTTTGATCGAATGTAGTGATGTCGGTCGGCTTAACCCTTCGGCACTGAGGGCCTTGGCTGAGTCCCGCATTGAACCTACTCAGAGGCCCTACATTGACTTCCCCTCTTCTGGAAGCATCTTACCACCTACATGGTCACAAGCCGAAGCTGATGGCATTTTGGAAACCTGCAAGTGGATTTATCACTTAGCCCATGGCACGCTTCCAGCTACAGACAGCACCGATATCGATAGGGACGGTGACACCGGTATGAACGGGCAGGCTCTGTCGCCTGTTAATAGGAGAGAGAGAAAGATTCTTATCCACTGTGCCGATGGATACACCGAGTCTACCATGCTTGGAATCGCGTACTTCAGCTACAGCACTGGCAGGGGCATTCCCGATGCTTGGCTGGACTTGCATACCATCAAGAAGCGGAATTTCTTCGCCTATCCTACTGATGTTGCTCTTCTTACCTGTATCGAGGCCCGATTGCTACATGAGTCGCCTATTCACTCAGGTAAGGGCCTCGGCGAAATCACATCGCTGATCAAGGAACCAGCATGGCTTCCCGGTCTAGATGGGTCATTGCCTAGCAGAGTTCTTGAGTATATGTACCTCGGTAACCTATGTCACGCGAACAACCCCGACCTGTTGAGGGCCATGGGGATAACTCAGATTTTGAGTGTTGGCGAGACTTCGATGTGGAGGGAAGGCGAGCTGGAGGAGTGGGGTCCAGAAAACGTCTGCATTGTACAAGGAGTGCAGGATAACGGAATTGATCCTTTGACGGATGAATTCGAGAGATGCCTCGATTTTATTGGTAAGTCGGTAATTCTTGATCTTTTGAAAGTCGGAACACTGCTTATTCGTTTTACGTCAGAGCGTGGCCGGCGCAACGGAACAGCCACATTAGTACATTGCCGCGTCGGAGTATCGCGCAGTGCAACCATCTGCATCGCCGAAGTAATGCGGTCGTTGGGTCTGTCATTTCCCCGAGCATATTGCTTCGTCCGAGCCCGCAGGCTCAATGTCATTATTCAACCCCACCTCCGTTTCGCGTACGAGCTTCTCAAATGGGAAGAGCTCAACCAGTCGAAGAAGAAGGGCTCATCTAGGGTGAAGCGGGAACTTGAATGGGGTGAAATCGCCAGGGAGATCGCTCTGATGAACCGTCCTTACGCCAGGTAAACTCGACTTCTTTCCCGACCCGGCGGCGTGACGCGTATTCTTCTCTCTTGCGTCGACTCCGAAACCTATATCTCTCGTTTACTCGCCCACGTGGATCGTCGGACATTCTTTAATATTACATTGATACCAGTCTTGGATACATCACAGACAGCTGAGCAACCGGCCCCAAGGTCTGGTCGGTAGCTGTGAACTTGGGTTTGTATCCTCAGTGGTGAAACTTCACGTGGAATGATATGTGCGGATATACGACTGATGGAATGGCGCTATGGTATGATCTCCTGTAGGAGCGAGTTTTCTTAAGGGGGGGAGGGGTTTACTTTGGGATGGACTGCCTGGCGCATGATTTTGACAGCTGTATTTCGGCTGGCCTGGTGTTTACGTGACTATTTCTATTTTAGGGTGGTGGCGGGGGCATCTTCAAAGCCTTCGTGCATACAATCTTTTGATAATAAAGGATACTTGACCGCCAAATTATCAGGTACTCGCGATCAGTAACGACCACGGAATTTTGCTAGAGGCATGAAGAGTGTACCACAAGCAATAATCCACACCTAGTAACAGGTCACCAACTTCCTCTTTAACCATGCGTGGTGTCCTGAAGCTAGTTGGTTGCTACAACATATATTTGGCAGAACAGCTGCTGTTTTGACTTGATTTCAAATTACTTGGTTATGCTTTCATGACGAGAAGGTACTGCTGCTGGTCTAGTATATGATCTGAACCGATCCTGTGCCGTAGACCACAGATTTACTTGTGGGACTCATGATAGCAATTAGTCTGATGTGTAATTGGCACTCGAGCAAACAAATGCGCGCTCTTTCGTAGCAGTCAGCCACTGGGCAAGTAAGTTGCTCCAAATAACCTGCGTCAAGAATGCAAGGTGCCGTAGCCTCCTCGTGGACCATGCCGCCTCCTTTGGGTACAGACCAAGATAAACGGAAGTAGGAGAAGATAGATAGAGAAATTTGTCCGGACGCCTCATAATGCTGAATCGGGGCCCCCATCTTCTACTCCCACCAGTCCCAACTTCAATTCACCATCTCAATTCATGAGCAACGTCAACAGCATTTCATGTGCCGTACGAGGACGCGTCTAATTTGTCATCGCCATCAATGACTCTGCCAAAGATATCTGTTTTTAGTATTGTGAACCACAAGCATATAGCGATGACGAGACAACGGTGCGATAACTTACGAGAATTGTTTGACCAGGTAGCCCTCTCCACCATGCTCCATGTCAATATTGTACACATAAAAGCCACCGTCACTAGTGACTACCATTACTTGAGGACTGCTGCTGCTCATGGCCACGACACTTCGAAGCGGGCCAGTCAGCGGCTGCGACCCGCTCCCGTTGTTGTTCCCACGGGCTTGGCCCGTCGGTGCGTTAGAAGACTTTGGAATCTTGATGTACGCAAAGTCTCTGAGGGGCTCCCACATCTCTGTCACCGTCTGCGGCAAGTATGAGCCAACGACGCCGGCCACGCTGCGACCCATAATCTGCGACGAGCGCCGGAGCATGCTACTAAAGGAGCCACTTTGCCGCCTGTTGATCTGTTGCTGGGGATGAGAAGAGCCGCCGTTACCTAGCCCAGCGGGTTCCGCCAGGTCGCTTCGTGGAGAACCAGCCGCACTCCCCACAGGCGACTCATTGTTGCTGTCATAGCTGCGTGACCTCGACCAGCGATCCTGGCGAGGTGAAGCAGGTGTCTCTGCTGCGGCGGCAGCGGAATTGTTGCCTGGAGGGGGGGCTCCGAGACGAAAGATGTGAACTGTGTCGGAAGTTGAGGAGACGCAGAGAAGGGTAGAGCTGAGGTTGAAAGACATGCTGTAAATAGTGGAGGGATAGGTTCCCCGGCGGAACTGGTAGAGTTTCTGACCTCCCGGGACCGAGAAGACGCGGATAATGGTACCAGTCTCGCTTGCTGTGGCCAAGAGCGTTCCTTCACTATTGAGGCAGATGCAGCACAGTGGTGAACGATGAGCCTCGATGACATTCACAGCCTTCAACGTGAGTGTGTCGAACACCAAAACCTCTCCTGATGTCGGTGCAACGTACGTTGAAAGGGGAGGCGCATGGGCTGGTCTTTTGTCTCCTGAGTCCTCCCGAGGTTTCGGTAAAGGATACGCAATGTAGCAGTTCTCTGAAGAAGGTGATAGAGCGCAAATTGCGCCTGGGTTGGGAGACGTGGGAATCGTGAAGAGAAGGCTCATATTAGAAATGTCATATAAGTAGATTTCGGATTCGAGAACCACGGCGAGACGTTTCCGGTTGAGACGCACGGCGAGCACGGCTGATGGAAAGGTAAGTTCGCAGATGACTGAGGATCTCTATTTATCGTCAGAGGAGTATCATAACTTGGCATGAATAATTGCCAACAAGTGGTCAGCACTCACCTTTGTGTTTTGTATTATCAAGTGTCGAGGGGACAGGATCAGGGCGACAAGAGATGTCGAGAATAGCATCTCAATAATAGCAATGTTGCCATCATCGCTGCTGAAGATTTTGGAGAACGGGTCGGTGTGGTAGATTCGGAAACCCTTGGAAGTACCTAGCAAAGTGGAACGCAAAACAATTAGTAAATTTGATCTGGAAAACCCGTATGGGACCAGGAAACCAGACAGCAAGGGATCTTACCGACGGCCAGACAGCTATGGTCCTGATTAAAGGTAATAAAGTTGAGGGCGGTATTCGCCATGGTGCGCTGCTCGGATCACGGTGGAGATGCGGACGACGATTCTGGAACAGCAGGTTCTGTAACGCCCGGGCAGCGCCGGCAATCGATGAGGACCAGGCAACCCAAATGTGACTTCTCACACTATTGGGCAGGTTTTGCGGGTTTAGGTGTTCGCGATACTATGCACGTCGCGATAGATGCTCGTCCAAGCCCCACACTGGTAGAGGATCGGGATCAGTGGCGCAAGCAGGAAGAGATTCAGCGGCGGCGGTCTGGGGTCGAGGTAGTCGACGATATGCCAAGAAGAAATCGAGGATAGACGGCGTGAATAGGATACGATGTATGTTTCCGCATGTACTCGAAGGCAGAGGATTATTTGCTGGATCGAAGTAGGAAGCAGCGGCTCAGCGACTGCTGGCGGCTCTCAGCTGCCAAAAAGTCCGAAAGGATGATGGTAGTCTCAAGATGAGGCGAAGTTCGGTTTGACGGCGACGAAAACGACAAGGGATCAAGTGCTGCAGTTGAAAGGTCGGAGGAGGTTGGCGCAAGATGGCGGCAGCACAGCGGCAGAAGAAAGTTGAGGTGAGGAAGATGCCGTTGCGGTCAAGCAAGGTCAGAGAGGTCGGGCAAGGAAGGTCGATGTTGGCGTACGGTAGCTTGTGGAAGTAGATCCAGGCGGGACGGCTCACAACGCAACGTGAATGGAGGAGGCACTCCGATGTCAATCCAGTGGGGGGGCGGCGGGGAAGCTATGTAATCCCATGGTCCTAGCGCCTTAGTAGCCCAGAGCTCATCGCGGACGGATACAGACCTCAAGTGACAGAGCACCATACTAGGTAGGCACGTATGTAGGTAGGTTGCCTATCCGGACGTGCCGTGTGAGCTTACCTACCTAAGACGGAATGTACGACGATGTATCCAGGCATTTTACTTCACTTTGGCGCAGGCATTCGAAAATCAAAGTACCTTGGTTGCGATACCTACCTACCCGCGCAGGGGGGGGTTTTCAACATTGCCCCAAAAGTATGTACCCTTAATGCCCTTAGGCATCATAAGTATCTACTAGAACAGGTAGGAGCCACATCAGTATGTGTGCTGAGTTAAACATACAAACACTGTTCCTTCCTCCTTCTGTTTTTGTAGTTCAGAATGGACCTACTCTGTATATATATAATCACTCCGAGTGCTCGAACAGAGGAGAATTAGAACAGATGTTGAGTAATATCGTGATTTTTATTAGAAATGCTGACCCTTGGGCTCATTCTAGAATCTGTACATAGTTGGACCATTATACGGGCAGCAGGGTGCACATACAGCATAGTCCATTAAGGGGGCAGAGGGATGGACCACTTTTGAAACCCCCCCCCCCAACCCGCATAGGTAGGTAGGTATCTTGAATCTTATCGTCTTGGGTGTTCTCAGCGAGGCAGGGCCGCGTGCAGCTGAAATGGCTGGGTGTGTTCGTGGCACATGGCGCGTGTGGCTCAAGCTCTGGGCAGCTGGCGGAGACTCACGACAGGTGACCGATTGGGCCAACCTGCCCAGTGGAACCTGGAACTCGAGGCACCTCAATACCCAGGTGCCTATCCAGGTACTTCGAGGCAGGTACCTAAGCACGTACTGTTTTGGGGAACATCCCTGATAAGATAAGGCAACCTACCTGAAAGACTTCCGTGCTCCAATCTTAGGTTTCATGAGGACAAACTATGAGGTGATGTGGGCACAGCCAGGAAATAATTAGGTGAAATCACCAAGCCTACGTGGAATATAATACATCTTCTTGGCTGTGACTTGAGTGTCTTATTCAGAACAGCTCTGCTCTAGCCCGTCTTTCACATTTCTTAACGATGTTCTAGAGCCTTGGTGACGAAGAATGTGATTCAACCACCTTTGTCCCGCAATGGGGTTTTAGAAGCTCGGAGCCCCGTTGTTTGGCGCCTTTCACCGAGGAGAGAACTTTCTGCAAATTTCAGTCTGAGTAAAAAAAAAAAAAAATTAGCGGCGCCAAAACCAGGACTCTCGCGGATATCGTAATCCACTACATGAGGCGTATTGAACCAGGCGCAAGCTTCGTTGTGATCCGTTCAAGATGGCTCCCTCTACCCAGGACGTTCGAAAGTCTCGGGCTTCAGACGATTTGATCATGGCCGTGAGTGGGTTTCCAGTGTCCATTTATCTGTCTGATTCCTGACTTAATGTCACTCACACCCTTTATTTCGCAGACAAACAATAGTTCTATCGTCTCAAAACGCAGTGTCGTAAGTCTTGTTGCCGCACACTTGGTTGAAACGGAATCCTGAAACCCATCTAAGGAACATCTTTACTATCCTGACGAGCCTCACTACTTTCGTTTCTTCGTGAAAAATTTCCGGAGAAGGGCGCCTCTCGTCAATAGAGGCTATCATCTTAGACTCAAGGTTATCGACACCCTAGTTCGCCGATTTCTCCAAAAACAATCAAACCGAAAGAAGGTCGTCGTGAATCTTGGCTGTGGAAGGTGAGTTCCAATCTGCTGTCCTACATGTTCATGGGGCCTTTACATTGATAACCCTTCACGAAAGCGACGTTCTGCCGTGGCAGTGTCAAGTGCGCTATCCCGATTCATGCCAAGATGTTACTTTCCTCGATGTCGACTACCCAGATCTTATTCAGAAGAAGCGGCAGATAGTGCTCGAGACCCCCGAGCTGCAAGACCTGATGGGGACTTGGGAGGTAAATGACGATTCCCCAATCGTCCTCAAAAGCCAGAAGTACTGTCAAGTGGGATGCAATCTCCAGCAGCTCTCGGTTCTGCAGAGTTGTCTCGACACGCTCTTCGACGTGCCAAACACCGAATTCCTGTTCGTGGCCGAAGTTTCCATTACTTACATGGACACGAAAGGTGCAAATGGAGTCATCGAGTGGGCAGCCACTGTTGGAAATGGTACGTTTCTTACCTTAGACTGCACGATACACTCTAACTAGATACCTAGCTGAATTCTGTTTACTGGAGCAGATCCTGCCAGATGGGCCTGATCATCCTTTTGCTCACACGATGCTTGGGCACTTCAACAAGATGAACGCTCCACTCAAGTCGGTCCAACGCTATCCCACTGTGGCCAGCCAGGAGAAGCGATTTCAGTCTCTTGGCTGGCCATCAGCTGAGAGTTGGACACTCTGGGAAGCTTGGTCTGATAATTTGTTCATGACTGCTGCAGAGAGGCGAGCCCTCGACTTGGTTGAGTCCTTTGACGAGTTGGAGGAGTTTGCTCTCTTCGCCAGCCATTACTTTGTCATCCTTGCTACAACTCCGAGGTCTGAAGCCCAGGGCCACGTGTCCAAGGTCCATGAAGAAGCCGTCATTTCATCCTTCCAATGTCCGATGACCATGAGCGCCTACGACTCTGCTCAGGGGCACCGCCGGCTCGGCGCCGCAATGCTTGTCAGAGAGCCCAACAGCGGTGAATTCATCTCTCACAACTTCGGTCAGGGGCCTGTTGGACGAATGAATTCTGAGGATCTATACCAAATTTCTAGCCAGCCAGTGGCTCCTCTCCCATCCGCCAATATGCCCTCTGCCAGAGTATGCCATAGCCTTACGGACTTAGGCAACGCTGGTGTTCTTCTCGCGGGCGGTCGCGCGTCCCCCTCAACGGCGTTCGGAGACTGCTGGCTATTCAACAAGCAACTTTCTGCCTGGGAACGAACAAAGAATCTGCCCGTTCCCCTTTTCAGGCATTCTGTTACTCGACTGGGTTCTTCGACCCTTGCCCTCCTCGCCGGCGGTAGGAAGAACCACTTCGAAACGTCAGCCGAATACTTCCTGTTTGACCCTGCAAAGGGTTGGGAAGAATGCCATGTACAGTCTGCGCCACCTGCACTTTACAGTGCTACATTTGTCTGCGTAGGCGAAGTGGGATCTCGAGCTTTCACGGGTTTCCTGTCCGGGGGCAGCCTTGAGGATAGCGTCATCAACCAGAAACTTTACACTTGGAGATTGGACATTTCTGCACCCGAGGTACGTGCCGATGCGACTCCTTGAATCATTTCTCTGCATTCGCTAATGCCCATTTGTAGCCCGTACTTTCGTTTCAGCAACGAATTCCCAAGGATGGGGGACTGCCCGGTGCTCTTGCCAGGCTTGGCTCTTTCGCTATTCAGTCTCTTGGTCACACTCTATTGCTTGGCGGAGTGATTGAGGGGGTCCAGCTTCCATCAGTATACGACATCATCGTTCTCAAAGCAACGGTAACAGAGGTCAGTGTGGTGGCCAGGCTTGATGGCACAGACAGCTCCGGCGTGATGCGCCCCTTTCTGATGGGGTCTTCCGTCGTGCACTATGGAGATGGAAAGCTCGCCATCCTCGGAGGTGGCGCAACGTGTTACGCCATGGGAACTTTCTGGTCTCCTGGAAGCTACAGCTTCCGCTTCGATCCAAAGCTTTTACCTCAGCACGGCACAGGGCAAGCAGCCTCACGACCCGAGCCGGTCCAATACCAGGAGACGATTGAGTTCTCGGAGAGCGAGAAGAGGCCCGTCGAATAGAATGAGGCCGTATCACCCCTCTTCAACATCACTCATAACCTCACATTCTGCATTCACACTGCAATCGGCTATGTCCTCAACAAACTGCCGCACCTGGCAGTAGTTGGCTAGTCGTGGGCCATCTGCACGGAAAGATCGGGAATTATAGCAGAGCAATGTGTTCATTCGATAGAAGGATTAGCCTCGGCCTCGAAGCAATCGCTTCATCGAAGAAAATAGACTCTTGACATCGCTACCAAGGCCCTCTTTGTTCTCTCGTGCCCTCTCGAGCCCGCCTCTCTTGAATCCCCCAGGAACACAAAGCCACAAGAGTAGAAGAAATATTAGAAGGGCCAGGATTATTGGCTGTAGCACCTGGACGCCTTTGCTCTGGGCGATGGCCCCGATGGCAAATGGGAAGATCGCTGCACCGCCGCCACCAAAGGCCGCAGCAAATCCAATCACGCCCACATGGTAGTCGTTGGGGAGCAATTTGGTTGCGGTAACGATCACGGCGGGGAAAAGGGGGCCAAGAAAGAAGCCGAGGAACGTGATGAAGATGACGGAGGCGACAAAATTAGGAACGAGCCAATAGAGCAGTTCAAGAACGAGTGAGATGACAAGGTAGATGGCGATCGCGCGCTTCTCTCCTATGCGCCCCGTTATGAAGCCCAAAATGACTCGTCCTATCGTCAGTCCCAGCCTGATGGGGAGACAGGTTAGTAGGGATTCCTTAAGTATAACAAAGCTTGGAGAGGAACATAATTACCAGAACAGCACCACGGTGACGCCAGCCAAGAAAGGCTCAGCGTGCCTTACGCGAAGCATGAAGGTAACAACCCACCCACCCAGGCTGACTTCTGCTCCGACATAGCCCAACAGAAACAAAGCCAGAAGCCAGGTGAGTGGTTGACGCACCACAGTCATAGTTGTCGTCCTCTTCTCCCCCGTCGAAGACTGGTGGGTTTCCCTGTGTATCTTGCCAGTGGCGCCCCAGAACGCCGTGATGGCGGCCACGAAGTTCACCGCGGTGACGCCAATCATGACATAGTAGAAGGAGTACCACGGCAGCTTGCCCTTAGTCACCATAGCGGAGGCGACCAGAGGGCCGATGGTCGCGCCCAGTCCATATGCACCGTGAAGAAACCCAAGCAGCTCGTTGGCGTTTTGCATATTGCCGACCCATGCGTTCCAGGCGCTATCTTCGAGGCCGTTTCCGAAGCCTGCGAATAGCAGGACGACAGGGAGGACTGGGTAAGGCGGATGGGAGACAAGAGGGATGTAACCGATCATGCGGCTGATAGGGCCAAGTACTGCAACGCCTCGCTGACCGAGCTTGTGATGTATGAGGTTGTTGGATAGGGCCGCCACCAAGTAGCCAATGAATGGCGAGAGGAAGAGTAGGGCGACGACGGTATACGTGATGTTGTAGTACGTTTCGATCTGAGCTCCCAACGTCAGGCTCATGCTACTGGGTGGAAACTGAGGGTTTGTGTGAACTCACATAAGGAATTAGGGCCTATAGACAGAGAGTTGTAAGTATTTGATATATCTGAGTATCGCACGTATGTAGGCTTACACCGACGGCAGCGTCATTCATGCCCATGATGATGAAGCTCCAACAGGTCACGAAAAAGCGATAAGTATTGATGCGGGTCCCGTTCCAACGCTCTCTGGTCTCCTCAAGAGTGTTAATTGGAGGTACCTCTGTTACGTCTTCCCCGTCTAGGACAGGCAATGGGGCAATTTTCTCGTCCATTGTGAGCCCTGGCTGGTTTGACGAGATGCCGTAACGTTAATGTATAGACGAACGACTGTCTTTGGGGGAAATACTGAAAATTCGGATCTCCGAAATATTATAGTTAAGCCAGACAGACCTTAGGACGATCGCACGAGGTGCGCGGAGCATCACGACTTTAAGATGGTCGAAGTCGGGAATACAGTCCCAGCAGCCGGCAAAAGCCCGGAAATTCTGCCGTGCAAAAGGAACGGTTCACTTTCCTGAGAGGAGTCTCCATGACCTATTGAGAATAGGGCGTGAGACCATCCAATGAAGTTCGCGGAAGTATAGAATAGACGGCCTTCTCAAATGGAGGTGGTGGGCCTCTACTACGAACCGTGGAGCAACATGCAGCCGATGTTTAGCCAGAGCGGTACGAACTACCGGGTGGGATGCGGGCGATCACGAATCGGTGATGAGCATGTGCGGAAATGTCTGAGGTCGACGGCGGTGAGTGGTTTTGGAATGAACCCACTTTGGACGATAGCAATGATGGCCGGAGAGGGCATCCGCTGTGGGGCCGGTCCGGTGTGCGGGGCTGTCTTCCTCCGGTGAGCCGATTCTCGGGGGGGTTGTAAGGGCTGACTTCGGATTCGTTCGCCGAGGTATCCTTGTTGGGAAAAGGGGGGTGTTCAGTTCACTCAAGGCTAAGGTACTCTTGAGTTCGTCAGCGAAGATTCGCTGCATTTTCGCATATCGGTGAGGTGTGCCGTGAATGCCTCGTGGAAAGCCTGCTGATTTCTTACCGATGTGAAGCTTCGGAGGGACTGGCCGCGCATTATGATGGCCAATGGCAGGGCCATTTCAAGGTCATGCCACCTAAATTAGCAAAGGTGGCGGGGCCATCTTCGGTGAGCTGTCCAATACCCAGCCTTTTTTTTCCTTCCTGTTGTCGCCATTTCCTTCCTGCAACTGCATCACCTCACACCCAGCACCAACCCAGCAGATGGAACTCAACTTACCACAGCCGTTTGTTCGGGCTGTGGAGAAGCAGAATTACGCCGATGTAGCAAGTGGAGTGATTGTGGATGAGGCTCAACACGGCAGTTTGAGAAGAGTTCCGTAACTCTGCATCTTGCACTACCTTGGACTAAGGTAGTATTCATACCACTCATGGCTCGCTCGCAGTAGGATAGATAGGAGAGTCAGGCTAACTACATGGTAAGGCTAAGGTACCTCGAAAATCCCACGTCAGCAACGCTCCGCGTCTTTCGAGTAACAAGTTGCTCTAAGTACGCTGGTAGCACATGCTCAGGCAGTTCCCATGTTCGCTTGAAGTTGTGAATTTCCCACCGAGTGTCATGTCCTTGTCCGTTCCTACTCACCCATTATGCGTGACATCATCGCACCACCCACCTCTCGAATATGCGTGCGAAAACCCTGCACTTGACACATACCGAAAAAGGTAAGGGAACGACATCGGACCGCGTTACCTTTAACCTGACGGTCATCTGTAAGAGAAACGCGGTGTGTACCCCGCCCATTTCTCATAGAAAGCAAACCAGAAAAGGTCGAAGATCTCCAATCTTTCATAGGCCCTGGAGTGCCATGTTGGTCAGCGACGTACCTAGATAAGGTACTCCTATTCCCCGGCCGACTTCGAGTGTGACGGCGGTGCAGCAAACCATCTGCCGTGTTACAACCGCACACAGGCACGGTACTTCACTCAAACGCTGTGACCTCGACCCTCTCTGCCTCAATCCCGCGGCCTTCTTCTAAGTCCCGGGACTCTTTGACCTAGTCATCAGACTGAGCTTACACAACCTGAAGATTTATTTGCCCGGAGCTAAGCTCAAACATTTTCCCTCGCTCATTCTGAAATCCCTTTCTCGGCATCGCCACGGAAGAAGCAAGTCCTTACATCTACGGCCTCTGCTGTGTTTGTACGACTTTGTATTCCGCGTCGGCTAGCGATTGCAGCAAACTTCTGACTACCAACTGCATAAAGATCTCCTGCCATCACTCCTTCGGTCTCTTGCAGCCGAGGTCCGCCTTACATCAGTGCCGCCAGCCTCGCGGAGACTCTCTACCGCCGAGTTCATTAGATCTTCCAAGACTGTACAAGTCTTCTTGAAGGCTCGATCAACTGGCTTCGAAAACCTCTGATTCCATCACCAGCGCGCCAGTCATCCCGTCAAAAGTTAATAGTCTCGCACACCACTTGGCATAATCATGTCTAGGTACTATGAGCACGAGATTAGGGAGGACCGCCCCCGCAGCCCAAGCCACCATCGCCGCGATGACCCCCCTCCCGTCACGAAGGAGTACTCCCCCGAGTACTACTCCGGCGGCGGCGCCGGTCCCATTCAGGTAGTCTATCCGGCCCGAGGCCCCGTGCCGATCGCCAGCGGCCCTTACATCTCGGGTGCCATCCCCGTCGACGCTCCTCCTCCTCCAGTCCATCCATACTACCCTCCCGAGTCACCACTCTCTCCCCGTGACTCAAATGCCCTACAGCTCCCGCCCCAACCCCGCTATCGCCCACGCTCCCTCCCACCTCAAGCATACGCAGTAGGCAGACCACGCTCGCGTTCACGCCCGCGAAGCCCTATCGGCAAAGCCCGTCACGCGGTCGACCACGCCTTCACCCAGTCATCCTCGGGCATCGGCGTAGGCCTCCTAGGCGCCGTCGTCGGTGGCCTGGCAGCGCGCGAAGTCTCCGACGCCACCGTCCGATCGCGGACTCGGAAGGAAATGGAAAACGGCACATACCGCCCGCGCTCGCCACGCGAGGCGGAGAAGGCGCGGGTGATATCCACCGTCGTCGGGGCTCTCGTGGGCGGTCTCGGCGCCAACGCCATCGAGAGACGCTTCGAGGCTGCTCGTGAAAGGGATAGAGAGCAGCAGCTGGCTTGGGAGAAGAAATGGGGAAGGGGAAGAGATCACGAGGTGGATCATGGCAGAGGGCGTCTGCGCAACCGGCATCGAGACGAGTGGAATGACGGATACCCCGACTATGGATATGAGGATCGTCGTGGCGGAAGACTGCGAAGTGAGGAGCGCTATTCGTACAGGAATTGAGATTGCCGAGACAAGCTTCACTGCCGGCGTTACTGTAAATGAAACCCGTTTTACGACCTGATGACTAAAGAGTGCTTTTCCTTGAGTTGATGACTGGTCGATGTCCGGATATCTTCTGGCAGGCGGATCTTCGAACGTTTGATTGCTTTGCTGTGTACGGAGTAGGCTGAATATATCTGCCTTGTCATCGATCCTTACCTTATCTCTTAGATATGTATCCGTACGGTACGTCTTCCCACTTACCTATAGAAGGAACCAACCCTATACCTGCTTTCATTTCTTCTCTGACTCAACCGATCTTACGTTCCAGGCTTCTTGGCAGAGAGGGTTTCCCGAGGAATCTACAACGTGAAGTAAGACCAGATATATCGCATGTTATACACCTTCCTTACAAATATCTCAACAAAGTTATTGCTACAATCATATGTCTTAGTCTACAGAATCCGTGCCGCATAATACTCATTCTCATCAATTGCCACAGAAGCAGTGACAAGTTCATAATGCAAATCCCATGTGACATCTCGCAGTAAGAGCAGTGCAACAGCTGGCTGAAGCATACCAAGCTCAAACGGCAGACACTCAGCAAGGCAAATGGCGGCAAGACCTCGTTTGTATCCATCTCCCTTTCGATTCATACCGTGCAACCATTGCCCATCGACCGCACCTTTGACCTTTCGTAAACGTTGTTAAGCCCATTTCAGCTGTCGTAAGCCATGCAGCATCGATAAGAGCCAGACCGTAACGGCTCAGTTGTTGTACCGAAGGGTCTCCTTACCAACATCGTAGCCGTCAGGGATCAGGTGAAGCCCACCGTAAGGATCCGCGCCTTCGATCAGCTCTCTTGATGGTATCCACGGACGATCACCCTGGCCATGCGGCAGTGTTTGCGCAGAGTTGTCGCGATCCAGCTTTGCTCGGTAAGCCTGCTCCCTCTCCACAATGACCTTGAAGAACTGGGCTATCTCGGCAATTGCTATCTGCTGCGCCTCTGAGCATCCAATAGTGTTACAGAGAGATTGTGAGTCAACAAGCTGCTTAGCGATGACGGAATCAGGCTGGCAGTAGGTACGAATGCGCAAAGATCGTGCATTGATTTTCATCGCGTGAAGAAGACCAGCGATCTCCATCGGGTTCCCTTGACGGCGGCCAAAGAACTGGAACTCATCAATGTGTAGATGAACGAGATCGAGTTGTGTTTCAAGGTCGTAGCGAAACCCCACAACTCTTGGGCGGCCCTTTTGCGTCCACCCATCGGCAATTTTCTTGAGTTTGTCAGGGTTCAGACGACCATGGTTCAGCTCATTAGTGATGTAGGCATGCAGTGCGTTGCTGATATGGAACTCGAGCTCGCAGTAAAGAAGACTCTGCTCACGGGGGTCAAGAGAGATTGTGACTCTCTGGACTTTCGCCTCTCTCTCCATCTCCCTAGGCTTCCGAGTAGCCTTGTTCTCAGTCTGTCGGTTGGTTAGCTAGATAACTCGAGATACGGACGTTGGAGTGCAGGGACGTTTACCATTTCCTTGGCAATTTTCTTGAGGTAGTCAAGAAGTCCGGGCTTCTTTGGGGATCCGTCCTTTCTCTTGCGGTCGGGAGTGTTGTCAGGTCGCTCAAGCCATCCTTGCTCGCCAATCAGGGTCTTGCCCGCGATTCTCTGTACGGGAAGTTCCTTATAGGCGAAGTAGGGCCGTAGAGGAGAGTATATATCACTTGCGTCCATGGCTGGCTGTTTGAGAGCTTCCAGTCTACCCTTGGGCGGGCTACGGCCTTGAGCACTCCCTCCGCGACCGCTTATCTCGGGAACGAGTGCCGGAGCCTTTGAATCTTTCCAGCCGCTGTACGACTCCAACACATGCTTAATGTGTCGCGGGATGTCGTCTCTGTGAATCCGTAGAGGGCTCGGATGGCCTTCACTCTGAGAGTAGATAGAGGATGACTCTGCTTGGACAGTTCCTGCAGAAGAAGGGCTATCAGGGGTCATTGGCGGACGAACAGAGGGCATGCCGCCAGCATTCTCCACGATAGATCCATACTGACGACTGTCTTGAACGTTGACAGGTTTGGGTGTATGTTGCTGGCGACGTTCGGCCAGACTCGATGCCAGAGAGCCCTTGGCCTTGTGGCCTTTGGGAGGTGAGCTTGGCATCAACTCTGAAAAAGTAGTCGAGTCGCTTTCGTGGCCATCCTCGAGAGGCTTGCGATAGGATTTGGCTTTGTTGGTAGACTTCTGATGGTGAGGGTTTCCATGACCTCGAGGCAAAGATTGGGGTTCGGTAAGAGCTTCAGCGAAGTCCATGTGTCGCTCGGGCGACCTAGGGCGACTGAAGTTGTCCACTCGGCCACGGCGAGATGGCGACTCGCTTGTGCTATTGAACCTTGTCACTTGTCAGTCGCGGTTTCAAGTCTGGATTCTCGGAAGAGAATACTCACACGTCGGTCAATCTGTCCATCTGGTTTTCAGTCAAATTCAGATTGATTTGCACTGACTTGTTCGGCTTGTGCTTCTGAGGCGACGGTGATCGATGTTTCTTGGGCGAAACTGGAATGAAGCTACCCTTGATTGCGGAGGGTACCGCCACTCGACCTTTGCCTCCCGTCATCTCCGAGTCCTGGGTCATGATGGGGAGATCAGTCGATGTCGTTGACGTTGTTTCTCGAGTATGGCGCCGATCAGAGAATCGAGAGCCAACAGAGCGGGATCTCCGTTGACGTTTGGTTTCGATAAGGTTCCCAACCCTTGAGCGGAATGAGTCCTCGCGGAAGTCAGGTCCCGTACGTCGATCAATTGGCAGTAGCAGAGAGCGAGATCTTCGGAGGACAAGCCGAGGAAATGGCCCGACAAGTTCAGGGTCTTCGAATTGACTCGTCCGAAGTTCCGAAATCCAAGCCTCGATCCGACTGCGATAAGATGAAGGGTCTGAGATGAAGAAAGTCAGTTTTCAGCGTATTGCTGAGTATCAAAAAGGAGGAGAAATGGGTGTTGGGGGAAGAGGAACTGGATTTCACGTGGCAACCTGCCGGAAGATGAAGCAAGCGTGTTTGTTTACATACCTCTTTGTGGGAAAATGGCTTCCAGGTCAACTGGATGTGCTGCCGGATCCGATGCGGGGCGCTGGTCTATTCGATTGGAATACACAACTTAGCCACAATCTGGCCCAGCGGGATGAAGAGGGATGACGATGGCCAACGACGAAAAAGCAAGGACGACCAGGGACGTAGTAATAGCAGCACAATGCCTCTCACTTCAACGGGTCACCTACCTTCAAGAATCAGGGAGGAGTGCCGCCCATTTGAATCTTCCGATAACGAGACATTGCCAGTTCTTGGTCCAGACTTGTGTTCCATCGAGGATAATGACTGGTTCCTCGCATCGCCAGCTACTTTACATTAGTCATGTCTTCTCACGCATATTGCATAACACCTACGTAGAAAGGATTGCTCCAGTGGCTGTGTACCGAGACGCGCCAATGGTTCAGAGACAGTGACCTCTTCTAGGCTTGAAGATGATCGTGTCTTGCCTTGCCCTACCCATATATCCTCCGCTTGATAGTCGCTGCAGGATGCCCGAGATCCCGGGACAACGCCAATATCTACTAGCGAGCCATTGTTTGAGCCTGAGGGAGAACCGTCATGCTCAACATAGGCGTAGAAGGCCGAAAGCGACGGTTGGTGCCGCGCTTGAGCGTCGGGTATTAGTTCAAAAGTCTCAACTCAGCTTACGAACATCAGAAAACACCTACTAGATCTCATGGCATCCTGCCCTTCAGACAAACTTGGCCTTGACGACGTCCTGGAGCGAGAAAGCTTCTCCGATCGATCGCTCGAGTCCATCCCGCTGGAGCGAGACCCCCGTCCGACGTCACGAAGGACGGGTTGTTGCTTTGTGATGGTCAGCTCTCGAGCTTTCCCAAGCATATCTTCCGTGGCAATTTTCCGGCCTCCGTCATGATCGGGAGGGTTACAGATCTTGGATAGAACCGAAAGTTTGGTTGGAACAGTTGGGCCGCGAAGTTGGTCAACTGATGGAGCAAGCCGTAGTTTGTGGGTCTCGATCTCGACGATGGTGACAGGGTGTATCCTTGGTTTGTCTGCTACCAGCCATCGATCATCAGGAACACCACGCTCTCCGCCGGCGTGGGAATCCTGCCATTTCCCAAAGTGACGCGCAGGAGACCGGATGGTCTGTGAGTTCGAACGAAAATTTGTTGGCGCTTGTAATCCGTCGCTCTTAGCGGCGACCCCGCATGGTGTGCGCACCACACTCTTACAACGGGCGCGATCTCGGTCTGACGGGCTCGTGCCGACATCGTCGTCTGCGATACCATCCAGGCCGAACCAATTACTGCTATAGAGAGGATGATTTTTGCAGTCGCGCTTCATGGAGTCGCCACAAGCCATGCCTGGTGACCTTTCGACGCCGATGCTCCGCGCATGGGGACTCTGTCTTTGAATATCGGGCCCTGGAGTAGCGGTATCAAGTCCGAACCAGTCGTGGCCGCGTTGGGACTTTGGTGTTCTGGTTTGCTTGGGGGAACTAACATCGCTTTGCCTACGAGGGACGGCATCTGTCTCGTGAGATAGGAGTCGGTTTGCGCGAGATGGCACAGCAGCATGGTCGACAAAGATCCGCCGATGGTCTAGTCCACCATCAAAGCCAAGTTGAGGCGTGAATGGGCCACGAAACTCCTAGTGAGGGCCCATCACTCCCTGCACGGCAGCATCCGCCAGCAATTTTCTGGCCTTGATATCCGCTGTGGGCATCATCTCGTGAGACATCGACAACGGCAGAGGCTGATTGTCGGCTATCAAAGAAAATTTCCTAGCGAAAATAGCATGCGGCGCCACGCAGCCTTCGGGCAGCGGCACAGGCTTTGGATCAGGAGATTCCCGAAAGGAGAGAACGGTCTCTAGTCCAAACATGTTGGTGAACCAACTGAGGCGTTTGCTCTTAGGCGCCGGTCCTCCGCCATCTAGAGACATCAAAGTGTCTCTTCTCTTTCTAAGCGCGCGAAGGAGAGACAGAGATCTTCTGAGGTCTGATCTGTCCACGGGGATATCATCGTCATCTGGACTGACGTTCAAGTCTCTTATCCCCACCCCTTGGTGATTTGAAGTAGCCGGGATTACTTCTTCTTCTTTGATAAACCTGCCAGCCCTCTTGGTGCCAAGCTGCCATTGCATTTCATGCAGCTCCTTGGGGTTGGGACTGCGAAAAGCACAGGTGCCACCCTCACGGGTGGAAACGTACATGGTATGGTCAATCATCCAAGCTTTGCGACTGCGTATGCAACTGGGCTCGTTCGAGCTCACGCTGATCGACGGGTAATAGTCTGAAAGTCTGGTAGGATATCGATGCGGATGCTGCTGACGCCATCGCACGAGACTAGCTGTGGGCCGAATAGACGAGGTGATTGTACTCATATGAGGTATATGGGGCAACTCAAGGTTGGACTGCCGTGTTGACGTTAGTAAATATGGATGGCAGTGAATTTGCGCTGCCAGCTTACATGTCGATTGAGATGATCATGCTTCCAGCGTTGGAACTCGGCACCAGAATCATCAGAATATTGGCAGTCAATTTCGATCAACTCGTATAGCACACCACCAGCTAGATCCAAATTTTCGTCTCCGAGATGCTCGCGCAGAACCAGAAACACCTGCCATGGAAGGCGTGAGCTACGCATCAGTATTGCCAGAGTAAAGCGAAGAGGTCCTCACTCACAAGTTGAACACCGTCCCGGTATTGATAGTTCCGGGGTATGTGTGCACAGTATCTTACGAGGACGTTGCGACACTCTGCGCATACCTTAGTAAATACCCATTGTACTGTGTTAACCAAAGTCAACCTACTCCCTTCATCATACCCGTTCCGCGACAGAGTGTCCTGGGCAAACTCATTTTCCATCTTGGCAAGCCTTCGCCGCCATTCCTCATCATCGGCTTGTGCAGCTGTCTGAATAGACTCAACCCAGGCTTGAAGGCTCAACCGGTTCCGCATTGTTCTAGGGCTCTCCGGAGTAGCCAGAATGGTTGGCAGTGGTCAGACGGTTTAGACACGGCGATGTGCGTTTCGTGGCGGGGTATTCGTCAAAGCGGGATGCGACTTTGTCTACTACTTGCTCTATGCCATGGCGGCATATAGCTGCGCGTAGGAAGACGTTCTTGTCGTCGTCGTAGCAATCGACTGTATTATTGGCGCTGCACTAATGTAGATTCTTGGGTCCTTGGCAAGTCTTGGGAAAGAAAACAAGAAAGGCAAGCTATAGAGACACGAGATGTAAGATCCCCCGCTGCCTTCGCATGTGGACGAAGACGTGGAAATCAGGTCAACGCAGAAATCAAAGAGAAGGCAAGTGTGGTTGCCATCATTAGGCAAGTACGTAAGGTAAGGTAGGCAGTCGAGGAAAGTACACATCTTTTCCAAAGTTGGAAGGCGCAAGTATCCCGCCCTCTGTCCCCAAGTTGTCGGCGATACACTGAGATGGAAGGTTCATCCGGGTAGGAAATCATCTCATCTGACCTGGTTGTAATGTTCCATAATATCGGGTACTGCGTGCATCTTAATTGTTGAGCAGGCTTTTGTCCTTGATGTGGCAGGTCACTCGACCAGCTGTGCGACTCTCAGGCCTGATCCCTCAGATTGTACCTTATGCGGTGCTCTCTCAGCATGCCTGTTGCTGGCTAAACCAAACATTGCTCTCTTTGAGCCACAGTGCCTTCACTTGAAGCAAGTGAGAGAACCTTTCTCGCCGAAACAAATGATTAACCTAAGGTTTGAGATCTAGCGGTACTGATGATGCTGATCGTTTGGGAGGAGGTTTACATGTCTTGAGGTCACTAGACGTAGACACATAATGCCGATACTATCCAAGAAACCCTTGCAGGTTGCCTGTCCGATGTTGACTTTTTGAGGCTTCCCTAAGGTAATCTCGAAATGGATGCCGATATGACACCCAGGACGTTCTGCTGAGCAAGAAGACGGCATACCGCGAAGTTGGGTCTTGCAAGATAGTTTCGCACAAGCAGTACGTGATTCGTCCCAGTCTCAATGCCGAGATAAAATACTCCCATAGGGGCAATACGCTGTCTGAGGTTCTAAGCTCTGGAGGACATGCTGATTGCAATCAAATGCAGAGCAGGCGCCTACCTAGGCTTAGCCTCGTGCTGGGTTGATCCCGTCTCTGAACAGATGGCTAGCGCATGGAGCATGGAGAACCGCAATCCATGGTGCGATGCAGAATCTGCAACGCTCTCGTGTCCATGCATGTTTTCATGACTTGAGATTCCGTTTGGTGAGTCGACATATGCGTGATGGTAGGAGGGCCGTTGGCGAGGCGGAAGGACATCATTCTGGAAACTTTGATGGTGCCTACGTAGGCAGGGGCTTTTTCGGACAGCTTCCGTCCAAATTTTGTACCCTACGTGACTATGGGGCTCCAACATGAACATTCCTGCCATTTCAAGCTTTAGCTAGTGACGGGAAAGTAAGGTAAGGTAATGTAACTCATTGCAAATTCGATGCGCATCGCATGCGCTCTCTTGACTGAGGAGCTTGGTGCCTTTAGTCCGTAAGGTACAGAGCTGTGTACTTGCCTTCCAACCGGACGCATCAGCCGCA